GGTGTTGTATGGACAATGTTTTCAAAACACTTTCTGTGTTGATACTGTTTCCTATGCAATGACGTTAGCCAATCATAACAGATGCTGCGAAGCCTTAAAGGAGCAGCGCCTTAAAAAACTGATCATTTCAGACAGAGACAGAATGAGGGTTGAAAATAATCCGTTTTCTTAATTTATATTTGTTTGTTTTTATTTTTTTGTATAAAAAAAACTTTATTAATATTACAAGTAAACTTCAAGGAACATAATCAAATAAAATAAATCCATGTTTTTTGGATTTACCCACAAATGAATTACTTTGGGATGCCCTTTTTACAATGCCTCTTAAACTTACTTGATCTTGAAATTATTTAATTGCATGTCAAAGCAGAATTTGGTTTATTGCATTAGAAAGTGGTGCAACTTTTGCTGGACAAATAGAGAGGCATTAATCATAATGCACCCAAGTGAGAGTATTAAAATGTCAGACATTTCATTGTCTTCTGTCATGCTTGATCACTCGGAGACGCTGAAGCAATCTGTCACCTTCTACGGGAATTCCTCTGGGAACCCGAGGTCGAGCCGTTTGGATCATGCTGATTCCTCTTCATGAGTTACAGCTCTCTCATTTAATAAATTACAAGTGGGTCACATGATTGTGAGCGCTGGAATAATGAAAGGATGATATGAACTTTAGCTGAGACAAACATCATTACCTTATCCACCTTTTTCCTGAACGAGAACGTTCCTCATTATTCATACCAGAATGAGCTTTCTGTTCAAAATGTTTTATTGGTATATTTATAAATTGGATAAATCTAAATCCAAACTTTTATATAATTAATTTTTGAGAGCCTGATTACAAAAGTCTTGCCATTAAAAGCCACGTCCCAAGATCTTCCCACGATCTTCTCATTATAATTTTATGTAGATTATATGACAGATTTGCGCTGCACATGTTGCACTGAACTGTATTTTCCTTTTCTGAAGTGATTCCAATCAAATTTCCAGCTATTCAAAGCCATCAAGTTGAACAGTGTGCATCTGAAGCATCTCAGCTGGAGGAAATAATACATTATCAGTCAGCCAAATCTTGTTATCGGGCCGATAACATTAAAAAATGAACATATATCAGCCGATACCGACATGGTGGCCGATATATCGTGCATCCTTAATAGCAGACTCACACCATATGCTGAGACCATAATGTCACCGAGACTAAACAAGCAGTAGCCAATCAGACAGCAGTGTACAAAAGCAACCCAAGGGAGCATTCAAGAGGTTTCATTTACTCGAGCTCAAGAAACACACACACACAGAGAGAGAGAGAGAGCAACGCACAAACACTGAACTCAGTTCTGTTTGTGCTTGAACGGACACATAGCTAACATGAACTTAAACAGCAGAGAAAGAAAACAGATGCGTATCATTACTAGGGATGTCCCGATCCGATCCACGGCATCGGTATCGCGCCGATACCGGCCCAGAACGCTAGATCGGAGATCGGAGGGGAGAAAAAAATATGAGCGATATCCAGTTTAGCGGCGCAGCCTGTCACGTGATGATTGTTGTGTTTACGCACACGCGCGCAGAGAATCACTCTCGCTTTGCGTGTCAAGAGCGAAACTGGCGCGCGTAAAGTTTGAAGCGAAATTTACGCGCGTGACGCGCGTCAGAATCAAAATCCGTTGGCGGTCATTGTTTTTATGTCGACCGAGCATTCATCAAGAGAGTTACCGCTCTGTATTTACTCTGGATAGCAGAACAGCGGCGTGGGGATCATCGTCGCCGTATATTTGTGTCCACCGGACCCTTCGGAGCCGAACCGTTTGGCGAGTTTCACCATTTGCTCGCTCCAGGAGCTGCGCTGGATGACGGCCGCTGTCAGCGGTACTTCCGCCTGTCACGCGCCCAGTTTGATGACCTGTTGTCCCGCATCTGAGCGAGGATCACCCTCGCCCTCATCCATCTAATCTAGCTGTCATTTATTTTTGTTTTGATAATAAATAGAGCCAGCCTTCAAAAGTTATTAACCTGTCCTGTGATTTTTTTTTTCTCTCTCTCACGTCCAGACACGAATTTATGCACATATGTTGATTGTCTTTACAACATAATACTATTTCTAGATATGGAATGAATAACATTCAATACAAAATGAACATGTCTCCATATAGAAATAATGTTTTAAGTGATGAAACATTTGCTTTGTTGTGCATAATCCCACCATGCATTTAGTCATATTAACAAAATAATTTATTGAAGCATCCAGACACTTCACCACGTGAGCAAGCAGCTAGGCTCCTGATTGGTTAACGCGGCGCGAATTCACGCCAAAGTTCAGCCAACTTGACGCGCGAATGAGGCGTATTCGCGTCTTCCGCGCCGCGCTCCACGCCTCATTCGCGCCGCAGGAATTTTTCTTGCATTGACTTAACATTGAAATCATTCGCGCCTGACGCCCTATTCGCGTCCGGTGTGAACGTAGCATTAGTGCGTCGAAGTTGTGATAGCGCTGTCGGCTAACGCGAAATGCTACTATTTACATTCCATGGATGTTTATTCATATTGTTTTGGACTAAAAACTTCTTCAAATTGGATTGTATGGACGCTTTACAGTGAAACCAAACCATTTTTGTTGGAATGTGGACTAACAGATGGCTAATTGGTGAGTTTCTTCCAGTTTGTGTTGGTTTGTTTTGGCTGTTGGTGGTCTGACAAAGAGACAGATTGTGCCCGCTGTGTTGATTGTATCTTAAAATGGTTTACGTCGTTCGAATCACGAGTTTCTCAGCTTTCCAAAGATATGTATTATGTTTACTTTTGTGTTTGTTTTGTTTTGTCTTTCACAAAGTTAAACCTATAAACCACCCTGTGGGCCGTATACGGCACGTCGGACCACGAAAAAAAAAATATCGGACTAATATCGGTATCGGCAAAAGCCAAAGGTGCGGCATCGGTATCGGTATCGGAAGTGAAAAAGTGGTATCGGGACATCCCTAATCATTACATTGGATCGGTGCATTCACTCTTAAAGTGACAGCAGCCTAATATACCCACTGCTGTCTGTGGCAATGTTAATAAAACAAAACAGAGAAAATCACGTTTGCAGCTTTATCAAAGATTAGCCTGATTATATTTCATTTAAGACTATGCAGTGCTATTGTGCATCTGATTTTTCAATTTCTGTATGTGAATACTGGAAAACAAAAAGCACTGCTTGTTTAATTTCTATCTTTCTTCTATTGTATCTATAATTGTATTTTTGCTTTGTTTATTATTTTCTATGTAGATTTACTCCCCAACAAAATCACCTTAATCATGCTAGAATTATTCATTCTTAACAATAGAGGCATTCAAGTAATCTGGTAATGAAATATGAAATATCGCAATGTCATTTTTTTTCGCAATGTCATCATGGCGGTGGGTTTTGCATTGGCGAGTCTTTTAACTTTTTTGGAAAGTGATCATTTTCCCATTTTAATGTAGATATCACATTAAATACTTATTTTTACATGGCTTTTTTGTGTGTAATTTTGGCATGATAGTCATAGTCCCCATTGATTCACTTTCAATACATGGGAAATGTATTTTCCACACTCATCTAAATGATGAATGAATTTTCTTTTTTGGACTATTGCTTTAAAACTCAAGAAGTGACGAGACTAGGGAGCAGCGGGAACAAGTACATCTTACCAAAGTACGAACTGTTTGACAATATTTATTACAACAAGAGCTCAGATGACTTTGCACCAGATCGGTTTACCTTCTTCATCAGCCCTGACTTACATCTGCCTCACTGATAATGGCATTTTTAATTTTATTTCTAAATTGTTTGGTTTAATTTTATCGCTTGATTTCAAACAGAAAGTTTGGCTTTTTTAACCACAGAACATCAATGTCAAAAGCAACAGTTTGAGATGCATTTAATAGATAAACAAGTTTGTTGCCTGGATAAACCAGTTTGCACTGAGGATGTTAAAGTAACACCCAAACATTAATGGATTATCTTCATGCAAAACAACTGAATGTTACATTGTATGTAAATGATCACTGTAAAACCTCGTCAATAGACAAGCACGCAAGCATAATTGACCCTGTTTTAACAACAATCCAAGCATGCAAATCTTCTTCTTCAAATTTGCTTTAAAAAATGCTCTGTGAATGCATTTTCTGAAGGTGTGTCTTATTGACAAGAGTGAGAAGGGCCAGGTTTTGTGTAGGTGTTTTTACAGGTCTTGTTTCTAGATGCAGAAAAGCCCAACCGAGAACATGGGGTGGCAGAGATACAGTTTCAGCAAGTGGACAAAACCCCAGTGTCTGGTTTCCTGCGAACAACACACAGCAAAGCTGTCACGTTTTCACCACTCTTAATTCATCTTGCACTCATTACCAGGCTGAATAATTCATCCGAACTGGAGTCAGGCAGCATCAGACAGTGATGCAAAATAACACTTATGAAAAATACACTGCAAATACCTCTTTAAAACCGAAAATGTATCTGTTTTATATGCTTTACATAAAGTATGTAGCCGTATTTTATGTTTTTTTTTCTTTTTCTGTGCAGCACTTCGGTTGTTTTAAAGTGCTTTCTAAATAAAGTTTACTTGGATTTGATTAACACTGATAAAAACCAGGTTTTCAGCTGGTCTACATGGTCTGGTGTTTTTATAAATGTTGTTTTATATATTTCCTCATGAACATGCCATTGTAGATGGTCAAAATCTGTTCTGCGTGATTACCTCTTTCCCTGGTGGGACAAAGTCCCCGAACATAATGCATTCAGCACAAAAACCCTCTTGTGTAATAATAATAGCGTTACACTTACTTACCCCGTATTAAAAGTACATACTTTCGAGTGAACGTCCAGTAACTTTTCAAGTGAAACCATTCCAGATAGTTACTGTCAATACAGAGACATCGTTTGGTTTGATCCACCTGTTGCGGTTGTGAGCCGTTGACCGAAACTATTATTTACAAAACGATACCAGCAGTTTTAATAAACTCCCCGTGTATCTGCTTACCTGAAGGCTTCTGTCAGGGTGTATTCCGACCTCACTGCTCGACTCCACTGTGTTTCATAACGCCAGCGGCCGGGTTAATGTCATAAACTTGAGTGTTAGAAACATAATTCCGTTTGTCTTCAGGCAGAGTGATGCGCCTGCCACCTCTGTCTCGGGAGCGCGCAGAGGGCGGGGCTATAGGGGCGGAGCTTAAAGAGGGCGGACTTTTCCTGGAGAAAGTTTCCTGAAAGTGTCCAATCTGTCCATCATCATCAAAGTCACGGGATATTTGTTTATGATAAAGTTAATGCCTCATTAACTGTAAACATGTAAGTCCAGAGATGAATGCTGGCTAGTCAAAAGCTTGGAAAGCATTTTGCCAATACTATCAGAGGCATATATCTTATATTCACTGCATTTATTTGGTCAAAGATATCATCATTAGAATTTAAAATAATGTTTTATGTGAATATGATAAAATGAAATTTATTCCTGTGATCAAAGCTGAATTTTCAGCACCATTAGCCTACTCCAGTCTTCAGTGCAACGTGATTCTTCAGAAATCCAGTGCAAGAGTGAGAACATATCTAAAATGGAAACTTGCCTGGCTTATAATTGAAAATGTGTTAACAGTTCAATGGGCATTGGGTACTCACATGTGAGCTGAAAATTATTGTATTTTTTTTTTTTTTTTTTGCAATCTGATTTAAGTGCTTTCAGTAATGCATGACCAGCTATGCCAGATCAAAATGCCAATGTGATTGAGACATAATTAAACTATTAGAGCTCAAGTTCTGCACTTTACCAGAAGTAAAGATAAATGTAGGTTTTACTTTGTAAATGTGATTTAAACTGTACTTTCATAAGGTTGAATTTGCAAATGGTTCCCAAACTATTAAACATCTCATGACATTTAGGGTGCTGATTGTAGTTTTTTTGTTGTTTTTTTGTAGGTTGAACTAAAGCATTAAAATACAATATTTGAGCAGATATTTAGGAAACATGCTTCACATACTTGTTTCTATGAAAAACACTAACACTAATAAACACTACTGCAGTTAATTATTCTATTATGAAACAAGCGTTCCGTGTCGGAATGTCTGTTCTTGTTTTGATCTGTGTGACTCCGCCCACTCCCAATCTCGCGGGTTGCCATGCCAATTGGCGGGAAACTCTGCGTAATGCAACTATGGCAGCGAACGAACAGGAGATCGCAGATTCCACCTAACCTATCACCGGAATCCATTAAAATCTCTATGACCAGAATAATAATAATAATAAAAAACGTGGATACTTCAACGTACCAACTTGTGGCTTGTCACGCTCGTTCCTTTTACAACACGTGTCAATCAACCCGCGTGAGCGTCGGGTCTGAGGAGAAAGTGCGGGAGAAACAACCCTCTCCAATATTTTACATTTTGTCTTCAGTAGCCATAGCTATTTGTCAATATTACACCGCACAGAACACTTGTAGTCTACTTTTAAACACCCATTTATCGGATGGATGGTTTAAGCAAGTGGGAAAAGGCGAATTCATGTTGAAAATCCCCTGGAATCGTTCTCATGCCGAACTCTTGCTGCACTTCTTTCACTAGCCCGCCCCACCACAAGCATGAAATTCATAATGTGTTTATGTAAAACACTAAAACTAATTCTCAAAAACACTTTTAAAAGTAGTGCTGTCAAATCGATTAAAAGTTTGTAAATGTGTATCTACACTCACACACAGACACACATATAAAAAACTTTTGTTAAATGCGATTAATCGATTTGACAGCAAGTGTGTGTATATATATATATATATATATATATATATATATATATATACATACATATGCATATTTAAAAAAACTTATGTTAGATGTGATTAATCACAATTAATCGATTGGACAGCACTGTGTGTGTGAATACAGTGAATATTTACAAACATTTATTAGATTCGATTAATCAATTTGACAGCACCAATGTGTCTGTAGTAGGCTACACACACACACACACACACTTACAAACTTATGTTATATGCGATTAATCGATTTGACAGCACAATAAGTAATGCAAAACAGGTAAAACATTTTTAATCATATACGTTTTATTCTCAATACAGCAAAATACAAAGATGATTCGCAACAGACTCAGAAAATCCATTAGTAATACTTCACCAAAAAAAAAAAAAAAAGTGTTTAAATTACAAGTTATTACAAGTTTGGATAATCGAGGCTCATAAGAGTACCTTTAAATCATAGATCATATTGCATCCATATACGAATATATATGTAGATTCCTCAATCTCTTCTCAATACTTTTAAAACTAAATCGATCTTATACTGTTTGCCAATGAATGCTTGGAGACGACCATCAAGCGAGAACGACACACAGACGTGTGGAAGACCTGATGAAGTTTAGGCAGATCTTCCTCATCCTCGTTTCAACATCACATCTGAATGACAAAGCACAGGAAACGCGAACAATCGTACTGACATTACCAACATACAGTGTTCTGTTGAAAAACCAAAAAGATGTGCATTTCATATATTCACATTCTATGTACAATTAATACAAATGTTAAATCGTTGTAAAAATTTACCCTAAAAGAGATTTTTATGTACATCTGTACAGCTTAGTATTTAAATAGAAACATGCGAGTGTTATTTTTCAATTGGATGAAAGAATAATAATAATAATTATATATATATAAAAAAAAAAAAAAAAAAAAAAATATCTCACCCAGGGGAAAGTCATGATCGCCAAGACAATTAAAGACGAATTTAAATCAAATCAATCTAAAAGTCTAGTAGAAAAGATGAAACCAGTAAAAACAGGAGGAGGAAACTGGGAATATCATTTTAGCCAATCATATTCTTTCTTCTGGTGAATCTGGTACATAAACCACATTAGTGCATGATTTCACTGACAAAAAAGCACAATCAACAATTGACCAAATCTCCGAGAGGATTTCTTCTTAAATGTCGAACGTCTAGAAGGTTTCCATTCGACAAACGTCTGCATAGACGGAAACAGATGAACTAAAAAATGTTCGGGAGCCAATCGGAGAATGTTTCCAGCATTTCATACGTCGTGGATTGACCTTTCACCTTGTTTTGCGGTCCGATTCCCGGTCTGCACTGAGAAAACTACGCAATATCACGCACAACGTCATAAATATATCCTCACGTGACCGATTTCTTTTCAAAGAACTGCAACACACAGGTGACTATGACACTATAAAGGCAACCTCAAGACTCACATTAAATATTTAAATATGATATTTTCATATACAATAGAAATACGTCTCTCATCTCGTATTGCAACCCTGTATCCATGCCGAAAACCCAAGAGTGAAATCCAAGTTGTTATCTAAATAAAATCTATATTAGGCGCCGGTAATAAAATACTCCTGCGTTTAATACCAGAAACCCCGCCGCGGTGAGATGCGAGCGCTACATTTTTCGTATATAAAAAAAGAAAACCTGGGCTCGGGCGTTTGCAGTAGTGACGTACGCCGACCCGACGGGCTCGCTCTGATTTGCGCGTGAGCCGGGCCGAACAGAAACCAAACACGGCACATTAGTAATAATGCCTTGATATGACGCGAACAGTCTTTTGGTCTGGTATGCACGAGTCGTTGGAGATGCCACCGCGTCACATGTTCTCTCACACCTCAACCTCTCCAGAAGATATTGTGTCTCTTAGTTTCCTGTATATCAAATACAAGGCACAATAAAAATGATAAAAGGAGGAATTGTAAAGCACCTTTGGTTAAAGGGAGGTACTTTGGTTGAAATTAAAAAGCTATAAACATCCAATTATTATTCATGTTTGCTTACAGCCAGCAAAAACACAACAAAACCCCATTAGTCAAAGTAAAACCAAAAAAGAGGCTTTTTTTTTTCTTGTTCTTCTTCTTCTTCCGGAAACGAGCCAATGATATGAGCAGGACGACGCGGCGTGTGGAGGCTCTGCAGACGAACATGCGATCTCCTCTTTATATGGTCTGTGGTGATGGAGGAGGAGGAGTGTTTTCGTTTTTGGCAAGCTGGTGTAGAAACGAACACAGTGTCACAGATGTCTGAGGCAGATCGAGTGTGTGTGTGAGTGTTCGGGACGCTCTACTGGACGAGCTTGGCGTCGAGCCGGAGCCAGTGCAGGCCTTGCCGTGTGAAGCGCACCAGTTCGGTCATGCTACTGGTGTTGAAGATCAGCGCCCCCATCGCCTTGTCCAGCTCGCAGAAGAACTCTGCACAACACCAAACACAAGAGAAGAAGAAGTCAGGACACACACAGCTTTACAGAACAATCATGATTATAATCTTCATGCCTTGTCGACATATTCAGCGGATAATATAGTACAGCGGAAATCTGATCTATATTATTATTATTATAATACAGGTGAAACTCGACATGTCGTGCATTTATATCAGTAATTCAACTCATTACATGCAAAGTGAGATATTTCAAGCCTTTATGAAAACCCCAAAGTCAGAATCAGAATATTGGGAAAAGGTTTTCGCCATAATCATCAAAATTATAACACATAAAGGCTTGAAATATCTCACTTTGCATGTAATGAGTCTACTATTTCGAGATTCATCTGTACATCACCCTGTGTGTGAATTAATGTAGACAAACTTGAATATCACCCCCATGGCATCCAAGATATCCACGTCTTTCTTTCTTCAGTTGAAAATAAATGAAGGTTTTTGATGAAAACATTCCAGGATTTTTCTCTATATAATGGACTTCAATGGGGTCCAAACGGTTCAAGGTCCAAATGAGAGTTTCAGTGCAGCTTCAAAGGGTTTTAAACGATTCCAGAGGATGAATAAGGGTCGTATCAAGCGAAACAATCGCTTATTTAATAAATAAATAATTTTTAAAAAACTTTTATAAGCTCAAATGCTCGCCTTGCTCAACGAACGAAATGACTCGAAAAAAGATTCGTTCATTTTGATGGATGACTTCAAACAGGAGTCACGAACAGAGCAAGGCGAGCATTTTGTGCTTATAAAACGTTTTTATTTATTTATTAAATGAGCGATCGTTTCGCTTGATAAGACCCTTATTCATCGTCTGGTGTCGTTTAAAGCCCTTTGAAGCTGCACTGAAACTCTCGTTTGGACCTTGAACCGTTTGGACCCCATTGAAGTCCATTATATGGAGAAAATCCTGGAATGTTTATCAAAAACCTTAATTTCTTTTCGACTGAAGAAAGAAAGACATGGACATCTTGGATGACATGGGGGTGACTAAATTATCAGCAAAAGTTTATTTTAAAGTGTACTACTTCTTAAAGTGCGTCTATGCAATGAATTTTGACCAAGCTGTTCTAAACCTGAATGAATTTCTTTCTTCTGCCGAACACTTGGTAACCAAATAGTTTCTGGTCCCTATTGACTTCCATAGTATAGAAAGTGAGGGTGGATTAACCATTTAAAGGTGTATTGTGTAATATTTAGGAGGACCTGTTGACAGAAATGCAATATCATATACATAACTATGTTTTCAGTGGCGTATGAAGACCTTACATAATGTCCTGAGCGGACGCACACGTTTCGTCTCTATGTCGTTGTTCTTCGTGCAAAGAAGCGAGCGAATAAAACACAGACACAATGATGAACAAGTAATATTCGCAATATCGTTTTACTGAATAATGTATCTTTGTAAAGAGACATCATTGCTTAACTGGCTACTCTCTGCTGTCTCAGACGATGACATCACTTCCTGTCGGCCACCGTGAATTCTATTGGGTGCAATTCACAATGTCACCACTAGATGAGGCTAAAAATTACACACTGCACCTTTAACTCACTCATTTCTCACTAAGGGTTCCTGCGTTTACCTCGACGACTCCTCTATGGTGCGTTTTGTATTATTGTGCATTTCCAAAACAGCAACATTGAATCCACACGGATCTGGGCCGACACTATGTTGCTGACTGGGTTATTCCGCATACTCATCATTATTGTGCTCTCGACATGCTCTCTTCATTAGGGTCTGGCGGCGGAAGAGTTGCGGTTTGACGCGGGAGTATCAGGCTCTTCAGAGAGCATCATGAGCAGCAGGACGGCGGGTGTTTGGAGAAGGGCATCGGTACCTCTCTGCTCTTTGGCGAGCTGCTCGGCCTGGTCCCACACCTCGGTGGCGTAGAGGAAGTTGGAGGTGACCTGCACGTAGCTGGCGGCCATCTGGTGTATGCGCTGAGGGATGGTGACGGAGGAGCTGGCGCTGACGCTGGAGCTGCTGGAGGAGAAGCTGCCCGCGCTGCCCGGAGAGAGCTTGGGGGACACAGGAGACGGCATGCCTGCGCTCTTACTGGACCACACACACACACACACACACACACAGAGGTTTAGTTTCTTTTTACCATTCAGAACTTCTAGTAGGCAAAAAAAGAAGAAATAAACCAGATTAACTACATCACAGTTTTCATATATCCCTCAGTTTCTCTTTGTTTCGGAGTCACACTTGTTATCTTCCCGGTCAAAAGTGACCGGACACGTAAAAATTAAATTTCCTCCATGCCAGTAAAACCAATGCAATTTATTTTTGTTCGAATAAAAAATATTTATTCGTTGTAATTTAGTATTTTGAGACAATTCGATTGAAATTTATGCAATATTTATTGTCTATTATGCCATGGAAAAATATATATATATTTATATATATATATATATATATATTATTTTTTCTAAAAAAATATTAATGCAGTATTTTAGTTTAATATAGAGTCTAGGCCTTCAGAAAAAAATTTTTTTTGAAGAAAATAAGCACCATCTGGTTACAGTATAGAGAAAAAGCGTAGAAACATGGTGTAACCACTAGATGACGTACAGCTCTCTATGGAGAAGCATGTGAATTCCCCAGATGTTTATGAACACATTTTTTTTTTTTTGGTGGACTTGAATATATAATTAAAACAATCTCAAAAACGATTTTTTATAAAAAAAAAAAAAAAAAAAAAAAAAGTAAAAAAAAGTAAAATAAAATGTGTGAATTTTTGTGTTTGTCAATTTCCCATTCATTTCCTATGAGGGTCATTTTTGACCGAAGACCACAAGTGTGACTATTTTTTTAAGACCACTTAACATGCTCAGATCATGACCTTAATTTTTTATGTGTTCACATACATAATGCCATAAAAGTCACCAGGTTTTGTAACATTCCGATGAAGCTGTGATTTTTAAAAATTCAAAACATACTTTTTGTAATGAAATTTATTGGTGTGTATGTGTATAAAAGTGTGTTTGTATGTGTGTGTGTGTCGATGGGTGTGTCTGTTTTGCACTCTAGATGTTGTAGAGTGTCACCCCTTTCCTGCGGTGTACTTTTTTTTTTAGAATTGTGTCCGATTTGTAGATTGCACGTACAAAAATTCAGATAATTTTTTTTTTGGTCAATTTCCCATTCATTTCCTATGGGGGTCATTTTTGACCGAAGACCACAAGTGTGACTATTTTTTTATGACCACTTGCTCGGATCATGACCTCAATTTTTTTTGTATTCACATACATAATGCCATAAAAGTCACCAAGTTTCATTACATTCCGATGAAGCTGTGATTTTTTTAGAAATTCAGAACAGAAAATTTTTCGGTCAGAAATGACCGAAGAGCACCTGAGGGTTTTAAATAAATATATATATATATATATATATATATATATATAAATATATAAAAATGTTAAATATATAAATTGATTTCATAGATTCATTTCTTATCGGATGAAAAAATTTCCCGTTTCAATGCAATGTTTTTTTTTTATGTGCTATCCCCAAAAGCGCATAAAAACATATTAATGGAAACATAAGCAGTGACAGGATGTACTCATCAACGGGGAAGAGAAGAAATGACATTTTTATTAAAGATTATGAACTTTGCTTGCCATTATTTTGTCTAGTTTTGAGATTAAAACCGGATTTACAATTCACATTTGCAATAAAAAAAATAATCACTTTTTTAAAGGATGTTTGCATATTTTACTGGTAAATGTGTGGGTATTTGTAACCTACTTTTTGACTCCACTGGATTATTGAAATGCTCCTTCAGCATGACATTTTAAAAGCAATCAATGTAATCTTATTAATACGAGCTCATTAAACTGAGAGTTAGTTTGGGATGAAGTGTGTGTGTCAAACCACCAAACATGTCAACTACCATATCATATCAAAAACTTCATTAATACAGTCAAACCAAAATGTATTCAGACACTTTCAACATTTCTCACATTAGTTTATTCGCTATAAAATATGAGCAGAACTCAGTGGATATTTGACTGGTTTTGTCCGTCCTTCTGTTGGACTCTCACACATGAATTATGTTGAATATCTGTTAAATTTAACCACACATTTAGATAATACCAGTTTAGTGTGTGTGTAAAGAGCATTAGCAAACACAGAAAACACACTTCAACATGATCAGCTCAAAGTGTCTGGATCATCTTTGGGCCCAAATGTTATTGGTAGTCACTGTATGAAGAATATTTGGGTATGATATGTAAATATGTCAGTTTATCGCACCCACTAGTAAAAAAAAAATATCAAAAATGATATGTGGTGTCTGAATAATTTTTGGTTTGACTATATGTGTGATCCGGTGTATAAAAACGGAGAGATGTGACCTATTGGTGAATTTTTGTAACTATAATGGTTGTCTGGGTGTTTCTCCATTTACAATATACAACACAATATCAGGAACTTACTTTGCTACTCCAGGAGACGGAGCTTGGGTATTACTCAACGAATTCTGGAAAAAAAAAACAGAGCAATGAATACGTTACGTTCTTCTCTACATGCGTTTTGGTAATTGTGTCATACTGGACATTTCAAACATACTCTACAATCAAAAGGTTTGGGGTCAGTAAGATTGTTTTACACATTAGATTGATCAGTAAAGACATTCACTAGGATTTCTATTTCAAATAAATGCTTTCCATTCATTGAAGAATCCTAAAAAAATTAAAGGTTTTCAACATTGATAATAATCATAAATTTGTGAGGATATTACAAATAATTTGTGAGGGAACATGTGACTCTGAAGACTGGAGTAATGATGCTGGAAATAAAGCTTTGATCACACGAATACATTACAGTTTCTATTATTTTAAACTGTAGTTTGTATCGTTGTCCATGGAATAAGGAGAATCACGTTACCTTCAAGTGTTCAGTGAGCGTTTTAGAGTATTTCAGTGCACTTTCTTTCCGGAGCTTGAAAAGCCTCAAATACAGGAGCGCCTGGCACCTCAGACTGCAAAAACACACACAGATTACATTAGCCACGGCTTGACCAAACACTACACACTCACAGCTGGGACAACATTGACTTTACTGATGAAGATAAAGTCAAATAAAGTCAAAATCATCATAATACATTTAACACAACTTTCTTTAGTGTGAAAAACTACAGATTCTTTTCATAGCAATTAAGTATAATAGTGATTGTTAAAGTACACTAGCAGAGTTGGGGGTAACACATTAAGAAGTAATGAGTTGTCAAGCCCCACCAATAGCACAGTGGATCAACACAGCCAAAGGCCTTATTCCATATGAAGCTTTTTCAACAGCATTAAAACCTTTTAAATTTTATAGAGTATGGGACCCTTAAATTATCTTGGGATGGGAGAGTCACATTTGCTAACGCTGGGAATACAGAACCTGGCATGGAAGGATTGAATAACTGCCCAAGTCTGTAATTTATTGTCTTTCTTTTATTTATTTATTTATTTTATTAGTGTTTTATTATTTATTATTGTTTTTTTAATTTTTATTTTTTTCCTTCTTGTGTGGTAATTATTTGTGATATATATTGCAATTATTTACTTTAGTGTGTATTCTGTGGAGAATAGCCATCTGGGCTATCTGTCTTAGCTCAGACTGGCCAACTTTGTTTAAACCCTGTCAATGTCAAAAGCTTGAATAAAAAAAATAAAAAAAATAAAAATAAAAAAAGAAGTATTGAGTTGTGTAATCAGATTACTTTTTCAAGTGTACAGTAATGTACAACTAAATATCGGAGCTATTTTTCAAATAAGGAACACGAGTGACTGTTTCCCTGTGTCTTGACTGACAGATCTAATGTTGAGAGAATGGTATGATAGGGGTTGGGTTTCGGTTTATAGTTAGTTATTGGAATTATGCATTATTTACTGTAATCACTATAAGAACATGCTTAGTTGGGGATATTTAATATCCAACAATATTATTGATCCGCTTGCATTGACAACCCTTATTTGAGAACTCAACTGGACGATGGCATCATGTTTTTTTTTCTTCCAGAAAACTCTTACAACTTTCTAACAAAAATGAACCATCACTGAAGTTACTTAAGCTGGACTTACACTATTTTCTTCTATTTGTTGCATTATTTTCCTGCTATCGCTGTAAAGCTGCTTTGAAACGCTCTGTATTGTAAAAAGCGCTATATAAATAAAGCTGACTTGATTCATGCGTAAACGTATGAAAATAAAGTATTGCCAAACATTGATTCAGTTCTCATGACGACTTCAACTGATTTAAAATACAATCCAAAAGATGATTCAAGAGAGTCGACAAATGAAAACGATGCTCTTCTCAAATGTGACCCGAAACATGCCGAATCATCGCGTCTCCGCTGCGGGTGTCGGAATTATTCGTTTCTACGATGCATCGCGATGCAGACGAGGGCGATTCGCTATCGGTTCAGCAATAGACCATAACCGATTATAATGTACTGGCACTTTCCTGACGTCATCTGTCGTGTGTGTTTTGTCATTAGCGTACAACGGCAGAGGGAGGCGAGACGCGAGAGATGCTCCAACTACTTTAAAAGCTTAGCGTTACATCTGGGCAAGTTTCGGCTTTCATGAACAATCGTGATCGCGGGCGAGAGCAGAATGAATGGGAGTCTATGGGGCTAAACGGCTAAAAGTGTCTCTTTCACCTGCTTGTCGTTAAAATAACATAGATTTTATTGTTGATTCCGCAAGTTCAATATAGATAATAGGCCAAAAGTCGAATGAACGAGTACTTATGTCCTTTTGATTTCTTACAGGTTAGGCCGTTGTTGGCCGGGACACGCTAGCATTCTGCTATTGTGTGACGTCATCATATTTTTGAACGGATTTTTAGAAGAGATAAGTGAACTTAAAAATGCAATTTTTAGCCGAGTGTATTATCTTAACCCTCCCTTTTGAATGCAACTTTCAAATTACATCCTGAGAAAAGTGGATTTCCGGGGGTGAAACCCCATTGACTCCCATTCATTCCGCACTCGACCGCGAGCGCCCCCGCATGGACAGAGACACGTTACTGCAGCCAGTCCAGAACCCGGAAGTAACCAGCCAGTGCCAATTCTCTCAAATTAGACATTCTCTGGTAATAGCACTAACTTGATAAAGCACGTTAGCCGTTTCACCGGGAGTGGTTAATGCCTGCAGAGTCTGACTGCTTTAGAGTACACAATGAGCGCAAAATCCCCCGAATCCAAAGCCAAATAATTATCTGACTTAAGTATCCACACCTGATGGTTAAATTACAATTATTGTGTGTTACGAGTGATGATAAATGGATGATCGTCTTCAACAGCGGACTCGGCGACGGTTTATGCGCGTTTCTAATGGTAACATTATTACTCTGATGAATGAGCGTGGCTTTTAAATGAACTTTTCTTTCAAACTTCATTTTCTTACTGGCATAAACAGGATTTACTCCCTTGAAACTTAAACTGGAATTTCACTGTTTGTGTGAATGCGACTCCCCGAACTGGCGAACACACACACACACACACACACACACACACACACACACACACACACACACATCACTTTTGAACAGGGTTTCTGCAGGTTTCAGTAAGTCAAATTTAAGACCTTTTTAAGACATTTTAAGACCATAAACATTGAAATTTAAGACCTACACAACAACGCATTACCAAAAATTTAAATAAGAAAATATTCAGAAAAAAATGATTTTATATAATGTGTGCGTGTAGGTGAAATTTGTACTTTGCATTTTATACTGTAAAAACACAATTATAGTTGATTTTAGTTGATCATACCCAGAGATGAAATGGCATGAACATTTCATTTCATGATTACTATGAAATCAATTTGCCAAATGTATGTCTAAACCCAGCAAATAAAATTAGCATGAATATGCACTTTTTTTTTTTACATAAACATTAAAATACCATTAAAAATGATGGCCAGATGATAAAGGAGTGTCTTGCAACAGCTTAAGTCTAGTTAAAATAAAGTCTTCACAAAAATAGTTTTATAACAGATAAACCTCACGTATTTCAGCCTTTAAATAATCTTTTATAAAAAGATTGAGTCAAAAAATGATAAATTACTGACATTCACATCACCTTATCTTTTATTATTAATGGTAAAATTTGGGCCGATTTTCCTGTTGCGTCTGTCGTTGCTATGCAACCATGCACTGCGCTCTCCATAACGACAAAGACATTTTAGTAGCCAATGGATTTCCACCACCGAGAAACGCTTGCTGTAAGGTTAGGTCTTCTACAAGATTTATTCACAGAGAAAAGAAAAACACCGTTAGTGTTTGGGTGCACCGCGATCCTTCATGTTGACTGAGCAACGACTTCAAAGTTGTTACGGAAGGGGCTGATTGGTTGATTCTTCGGTTCGTTTTCTCACCTGAAATGGTGCGATTTTTTCAATCTCGCTGTGGATGCGACGCGTCTATATTTGAATGAACTTGAGCGCGCAAACCTGGTGTATGAACGGCCTCTTGGCAAGCTACCTCGTATGAAACCACGAGCTGCGTGTTTAAACCGGTTTGAACCCCTGCACTAGAGCTCCGCTTTGTAGGCTACGACTCAATACTTTTTTGCTACTTTGTAATAACTTTCCGCGGCCAGAGTTTTGGCAAATGAACGAGGGTAAAATCTTTTTAAGACCTGACTAAATCAAATTTAAGACCTCAGATGAAAATCTAGCCGTTTTTAAGACTTTTTAAGGCCTTAAATGTAAAGTTCAGAATTTCTGACTTTTTAAGACCCCGCGGAAACCCTGTTTGAAGTAAAATTGAGGATGCAATGCATCGTGATATCGAATTGAACTGAACCGATGACACGATAATCGTAATCGAGCCGAGCCGCGAGACGGGTGTAGTGTCCGTTACGTACCACAGCACTGCGAGTCTTTTGTCTGCAGATGTGGCGTCCGGTGCCATGTAGCTCTTGAGCTTCATCGTGTACCTGCCAAACAAGCAAAACAAGCACATGTGTGAGCAAACTCCAGCATTAGTCCACAAACGAGTTACTAGGGTGTTGAGAAACGTGTTCCTTTGGTGCTCTTCAGATGGAGATCCAAATTGTTTCTCAAATAAACAGGAAGTCTGAGGCACTCAAAAGGAATACAAGTTTAAAAAGCCTTTATTTAAACTTAGCTATCCGTTGGCAGACGTTTTTTTAACGGATAGCCAAGTTTAGATAATTGTAGTTAATTAATAATAATAGTTAATTTTTGGCATGTTTTATCTTACCTCAAGGGCATCCAAGATGTAGGTGTCTTTGTTTCCGCAGTATTTTCAATTTTGACATTTTTCAGTCAAACCGTTGTTGTCTATCAGTCATACACTGGAGGCTAAGGGGGTCCACCAAAAAGCATGCACAGAGAAGTCCAAATTAAACATGATTTAATGACTCGTAAATGTAAGAACACACTGATGGCCTAAGACACGAAACGAGCGGTTTGTGTGAGAAAACCAACAGTATTTATATCGTTTTTACCTCGTGTAATGACAGTGATTTGAATCAGTTGTTCAATGTCCAACTGAACCGAACTGAATCAGTTCAATGTTACGCCGGAAGTGATCGCTTGCGTGTGACGTCACTCAATATTTACACGGAGATTTCGGACGTTTTATCTTTTACTAAACATATTTAGATATACCGAAATCGTCTTCCATTGCGGTTTCCCGTATATCTAAATATGTTTAGTGAAAGGTAAAACTTCCGAAATCTCTGAATAAACAAAGAGTGACGTAGATCACTTCCAGACCGAAGCGCCCGTGCCGTCAGATCATTTTGTCATGGCTATGATTACACGAGGTAAAACGATATAAATACTGTTGGTTTTCTCACACAAACCGCTCGTTTCGTGTCTTAGGCCATCAGTGTGTACTTACATTTGCGAGTCATTAAATCATGTTTAATCTGGACTTCTCTGTGCATGCTCTTTGAGGTGGTGACCATAGACCTCCATTATATGACTGACCGACAACGGTTTGACCAAAAAATGTCAAAATTGAAAATACTGTGGAAACAAAGAGATCTACATCTTGGATGCCCTTGAGGTAAGATAAAACATGCCAAAAATTAATTTCAAAGTGAACTATCCCTTTAAACTTATATTCCTTTTGAGTGCCTCAGACTTCCTGTTTATTTGAGAAACTCCAGCATTAGTCGGAGAGATATGGAAGCATCTCAAACCCTTACTTGATGAGCTCAACGGTTTCGGCATACATTGGAAAGGGGGATTTGGCTTCCTGGGCGCTTTTCTCCAAAGCGTTTCCGCACTCGATGAACGACACCACAGCGTCCAGGTAATACACAGCCTTCTCAAACCTGTCCATCTGCGGAGAACACAACGCATGTGAGGAGGAAAACAGATTCCACACGGACACGGTAACGTAAAATCTGATATTATGGGGCGCATTTGATTTGAATTTGGCAAACTAGTGCACAAACTCAAAGCAATCTTGCCATTGGCACAAACATCACTGACCCCGAGTTTTAAACACTGGCGCCGTGTGAAGAGAGCACCTGTTGTGTCGCTCTCAATGGAGGACTAACACAAAAGGTCAGGGGTCACAGAAATATCAAGCAGATTAACTGACAGATGTGAGAACCGTAGGCCAGTAAAACTAACCCTCACCAGAGCATCCGCGTTGTGTTTCAGTTTCTTCGCCTCTTGAAGGTAATGATCAGCAGAATGAATCCTGCAATTCAGACGGAGGACTGGCTGTTATTACGCAACCAAATGATGCTTAAACGTCCCATTATGTGGATCCAGATTATGGGAAAGCAGTGAGATTTCACTATGTGGTGTAAATCAAACAGACTTTGGCTTCTCAAAAAACAACTACAAATACATTGTTGCTTTTTACAATAATCGACAATTACGACAAAAATTCTTATCACAGTGTAAAAGAATCCTAAGGAATAAATCAATGTTTTTTTTTTTAAATAGAAATTGATTGCTATTTGTTTGGTAGATTTCAGCAGATGAAACATATTTGAGTCTGACACTGCTTTAAAGGTTGCTCTACGCTTCGCTGCATTTATTATGTTGTTATGCAGGTATTTCTTTCATATTATTCCTCTGGTTGATCTGTAATGCAGTGCTCTGCCTAGTTCCTGTTGTAAATATATGAATAAAGTGAACTTGAATTGAGAAGAAAGATCAAGGCTTCATACCTGTCCTCAAACAGGAGTTTGGATCTGGATTTGGAGCCATCGGAGATGTGCGGCACTGACACGGGGTTTTCCGTTTTAGAGTTTTTCTCCTGGTTAAAAAAAAAAAGACATTGAGAAATTAGAAACTGAAAATCCATCAAGACAAACTTCAAAGGAACACTTCACCTCTGGAACTCTGGAAAGATGAACGTGTCGTGTATTTAAAATGGGTTGTTTATGTAGAAGAAATGTGAAATTATTTTTGAATTTGGAGCTTTCTAGACTGAGAAAAGCCAGAAAATGTATTTTGTGGATGAAAGACAACAACTCCCAGAATGCACTTGGAGGCCACGCCTACCGCTAACAGAGCGCAGTAGTTAAACAACAAGTGAGTCTCTGTGATGAGTCTGGCCGAAAATGTGTTTCGAGATCGCCCAAAATGTCCGGGATTAGGCTTTTGCGTTCTACAGTCGCTGTTCATTATGTTTGCGGGACGAGTAATAAAAATGATATCTGTGTAAAAAAAGAAAGTGTTGTGTTGAAAGGCCATAAACACGGTTCTCCTGCGTTTGAAGAGAACCTCTTCTGTGGAGTCAGTCACGTGAGCTTTTTTTGCGCATCTAGAGATTTAAATGTGTTTTAATCATATTTGATGCACCTCTTCTTATTTCAGTGTAAGTAAGTGCAACATCTTGCCGTTTCCACCCAGCAATGTTTTTAATGCGAGAACACCAAACTGCATATTTAGGTGGATGGAAATATAGTCATGTGACCGATCAGCTGCGTCGCTTCACTGCCAATCATAAACCCTCTCCTGTGGCCTCATGGGATAACATCAAATAAGACAACGCCACTTTTGCGTCATCGAAGGGTAACGCCCCCTTTTGGGGGAAAACACCTCTATACTGTCTATGGGAAAACAAACGGATTCCCATGAGAACAGAACTTGCACTAGATCTGCAAAGTTTCTTGATAGCAAAAATGGCACAAACTTAAAGAAGCTAACGTTACTGAATACGGGGTTACAGATGTGTCCCTTTGAAATGGTCGAAAACTGGATTAATGACCCCACACAGCGGCCAAATATGGACTATTCAGACATCTAACGTTACCACTATCTCGTGGAATCACCAAGTAAGCACGTAGCCTTTTTTATTTATTTATCATTTACACACTCACAGTAGCCTATTACAAACTACTTGACGATGAGGCCATGTCACTTGGATCATATTTAACTTGATTTAAGCTATTGACAGTTTTGTTGTCGACTAGCTATTAGAAAGACTAGCTGTTAGCAGCTAACGTTACCTTATTAGACTATGTCAATAGCTTAAATCAAGATAAATATGACCCATTCATCGTCTAGTTTGTCATACTGTGAGTGTTAATGAAAAAAAAGGCTAGCTACGTGCTTACTTGGTGATTCCACGAGATAGTTGTAACGTTAGATGTCTGAATAGTTCATATTTGGCCGCTGTGTGGGGTCATTAATCCAGTTTTCGACCATTTCAAAGGGACACCTCTGTAACCCCGTATTCAGTAACGTTAGCTTCTTTAAGTTTGTGCCATTTTTGCTATCAAGAAACTTTGCAGATCTAGTGCGAGTTCTGTTCTCATGGGAATCCGTTTGTTTTCCCATAGACAGTATAGAGGTGTTTTCCCCCAAAAGGGGGCGTTACCCTTCGATGACGCAAAAGTGGCGTTGGTCTATGCACACTTCAGAATGTTTATTATTTGTTTGTGTTGTTCGCTATGGGCAAACAGTGAGATGCACAGTAAGTGATCACTTTAAAGGCTTTATGTGGCATTAATGCATTCACACATGAATAAAAAACCATGAATGAAAGAAAAATAGGAAATTTTCCTTCAAGGCTTTTTATATTCTGCAAAAGCAATCCCTGTGTGAATCCCTCAGGACAGAACGAGCATAGTGTAGTGTGTGCTTTTATGCAGCTCTGTGTTTGTTATTACACAAAGTGATTGTAAAGTGTGTTCCTTTATGTACACAACACAGGGTGTGTAACGTAAAGGTGGAGCCGGTAAACAGTGTGTGTGAAGCGACGGGCCTCTGGAACAGCCTGAGGTTCAGTGTGTGTGTGTGTGTGTGTGTAAAGAGGGAAACGCACCTTGGCCTCCCTGCGCAGCGGCTTGTTGTCGCCATTGCGGTGTCTGGAGCCGCTCTTGCTGCCGTCTTTGGGAAGCGAGCTGGAGGACTGGCTCGGCGTGCGCTTGCGTTGGTGCTCGGGTTTAGCCGTCGGCTGCAGCGTGATGTTAGGAGAGGGCGCAGACTCCTTCTCTTTATCCCGCTTAGACGACCTGCGGAAAAGATTTGGGGATATCGTGATTAACCTACAGCTCAGGAGGAGAAATGACAATCTGATCCCACTAATGTGAGAGGTCACCGGTCTGCGGTTCAATTTAACACAGCAGGTTATCGTCGTTCGAAACCCCGCTTTTACCCCCAGAGTACAGGAGTGTATCACGCTAGCTGCGTTTGCATGCACCATAATCACTAATACAGGGCTCAAACAGACATTGTCAAATGAAAATACAGGACTACTTATAAGAGGTCTTACTAATCAAACTATATTTTATTAGCTTCAAATTCTAAAGAAAGGTGAATAGATAAATAAAAATAAAACAAAATGGTACAAATAAAGTGCAGCACATGAAGTGACTGTAATCATTGAAAGGATATTATGACAAAGACATCCATTTACCCAACATACCTTAGCAACCGCCTAGCAACCAGCCAGAACACCCCATCAACCACCAAAAATACCTTGAAATAGTATTTTACTGTTTAAATTAGTCTAAAGTTAATTTGTTTGAAATTTAAAGTATTTTACAGTTTAAATTAGTCTAAAGTTTAAATTAGCTTGAATTTTAAAGTTTAAATTAGTCTAAAGTTTTAATTAGTTTGAAATTTAAAGTATTTTACAGTTTAAATTAGTCTAAAGTTTTAATTAGTTTGAAATTTAAAGTATTTTACAGTTTAAATTAGTCTAAAAATGTAATTAGTTTAAAATTAAGTATTTTACTGTTTAAATTAGTCTAAAGTTTAAATTAGTTTGAATTTTAAAGTAGTTTAAAGTTTAAATTAGTCTACAGTTTAATTAGTTTGAAATTTAAAGTATTTTACAGTTTAAATTAGTCTAAAGTTTTAACTAGTTTGAATTTTAAAGTATTTTACAGTTTAAATTAGTCTAAAGTTTAAATTAGTTTGAATTTTAAAGTTTAAATTAGTCTAAAGTTTTAAATTAGTTTGAAATTTAAAGTATTTTACAGTTTAAATTAGTCTAAAGTTTTAATTAGTTTGAAATGTAAAGTATTTTACAGTTTAAATTAGTCTAAAAATGTAATTAGTTTAAAATTAAGTATTTTACTGTTTAAATTAGTCTAAAGTTTAAATTAGTTTGAATTTTAAAGTAGTTTAAAGTTTAAATTAGTCTACAGTTTTAATTAGTTTGAAATTTAAAGTATTTTACAGTTTAAATTAGTCTAAAGTTTTAACTAGTTTGAATTTTAAAGTATTTTACAGTTTAAATTAGTCTAAAGTTTAAATTAGTTTGAATTTTAAAGTTTAAATTAGTCTAAAGTTTTAATTAGTTTGAAATTTAACGTATTTTACAGTTTAAATTAGTCTAAAGTTTTAATTAGTTTGAAATTTAAAGTATTTTACAGTTTAAATTAGTCTAAAAATGTAATTAGTTTAAAATTAAGTATTTTACTGTTTAAATTAGTCTAAAGTTTAAATTAGTTTGAATTTTAAAGTAGTTTAAAGTTTAAATTAGTCTACAGTTTTAATTAGTTTGAAATTTAAAGTATTTTACAGTTTAAATTAGTCTAAAGTTTTAATTAGTTTGAATTTTAAAGTATTTTACAGTTTAAATTAGTCTAAAGTTTTAATTAGTTTGAATTTTAAAGTATTTTACAGTTTAAATTAGTCTAAAAATGTAATTAGTTTAAAATTAAGTATTTTACTGTTTAAATTAGTCTAAAGTTTAAATTAGTTTGAATTTTAAAGTAGTTTAAAGTTTAAATTAGTCTACAGTTTTAATTAGTTTGAAATTTAAAGTATTTTACAGTTTAAATTAGTCTAAAGTTAATTAGTTTGAAATTTAAAGTATTTTACAGTTTAAATTAGTCTAAAAATGTAATTAGTTTAAAATTAAGTATTTTACTGTTTAAAATTCAAACTAATTTAAACTTTAGACTAATTTAAAGTAGTTTAAAGTTTAAATTAGTCAACAGTTTTAATTAGTTTGAAATTTAAACTACTTTAAAATTCAAACTAATTTAAACTTTAGACTAATTCAAACTGTAAAACACTTTAAATTTCAAACTAATTAAAACTGTAGACTAATTTAAACTGTAAAATACTTATTCAAACTTTCTGTTCCAAACTTTCACAAGCCAACTTAAAGTTTGTCTCGACAAACTTTTTCTAGTTCAAACTGACTTTTCTCTCTCTCGTGAATATGTGATTAACATGAAAAATGAAAGCTGTATCATATACTTGAGGATTATTACGCTCACAGCTCTATTTCAATATCAGACGGGCTGAAGCATTCGTTTTGCGTGAAAAGATTGTTTTATCCATCAAATTTCACATATATTGTCTTTCAATAATTCAAGCACTTTTCATAAATATGGCTGTTTTTCAGGACTTAAATGTCAAAAACTCTCGTCCAATGCCTCCTTATTGGACCTGGGTCCCCTGACCCCCTATGATGTCGAGTCCACGGTGACTAACCTTGGTGTGAAGATAAAAGCAGATCAATTGCATTTTCAGTCGTGGCCCCAAGGCTGTTATGTGGGATGATTTGCCATTCACATTTTTAAAAATCACGACTTAACTCACTTTTACTCATTGGCCTTTAAACCTGCCTGAGAGTTGTTTTCTGCATTCTTCTAGCTTGTCCTTTGTTTTAGTTACGCATGTATTTATAATCTGTCCAAAATCATGTCAATGTCCTGCACTTTGGTCCACTTGAATGTGCTTAAAGTTGGAAAAAGTCCAATTTGAGTATTTTAAGCACCTCTCTGTAAAACAACAAACATCAACCCTTCCCTTCACACAGAAATAATGCAGGATGTTCCCCGATTATATGTGCTAATGGCATTTTTACATTACCCATTTTAGTTTCTAGTATGATTTTCTCATTTCTCCTCACTACTTTACACAGTTTCCAGTTTAATGTGGAGGTTCTCTGAAGGATTGGAGCAAAATTAACTCACTCTTTACTGCTGGGCTTGTGTGAGGTCTTCTCATCCTGTTTAGACTTCTTACTGTCCGGTTTGAGACCGTCGTCATCATTCTGTGGGAAAAACAGGATTCAATCGTAAGGTACACTATTGGGATCAGTAACATTTTTTTAATTAAAATATCCCCACATCATCATCACACACCTTCCACCACACCTAGAGATTGGCATGGTTTTACTTCAGTTAGCCTAATAGCTGGTTTGATTTGCATTGAAAGATGATCTTATGGAAAGTACCCCATGCCAATCTCTAGGCGAGGTGGAAGGTGTGTGATGATGATGTGGGGATATTTTAATCCCAAAGGCCAAGGGAACTTTATCAGGATGCATATTATCCTGGATCCATGAAATAACTGGCTTTTATCTAAAAATCTGCCTGACTCTATGGGAATTTAACATAAGGGTGTCCTGACTTATGCACCCTGTATTTTAAGGAAAAACATTTATTTATTTATGATACATTATTCATTCACAAAGAAAATTGGTGTCCTTAAAGGTTGGAGTTTTCCTCATTTTTCTAATTAAGGCATTAAGATCAATATCCAAAAGATGATTTTTTATTCCTCTTTTTAGGCAACTTTAGCATGGGTGCCAAAACTTATTCACATCACTGTATGTGTGGCAATAGCTAACAATACATTGCATGGGTCAAAAACCTCTAGGATATTAAGTAAAGATCATGTTCCTTGAAGATATTTAGTACATTTCCTACCATAACTAAAATATTTTTGTGAGAAAATGCAACAATATCGCGAACACAAATGGACAAATTTAAAAGGTGATTTTCTCAATTTTTCGAATCTTTCCCAGATTTTCAATAGTCGTATCTTGGCCAAATATTGTCCTATCGTAACAAACCATACATCAATGGAAAGCTTATTTATTCAGCTTTCAGACGGCGTATACATCTCAATTTCAGAAAATTGACCCTTGTGCCTGTTTTTGTGGATAAATGGCTCCAACCAACCTTGTGTTTTCTCTTGGCCTTGCTGGGTCCCTTCTCTCCCGGCTGCTTCTGCGACTCCTTGGCTTCCCCAGACGAGCTCCTCTCCGCCTTCGCCTCCAGCAGGCGTCCCGGCACTCTGGACAGCAGGTTCAGGTCGATCTGCACCAGCAGTCGGGGGGGCAGCCTGCTCTCGGGGTCGCTCAGTGGCGAGAGCATGGGCGAGAACAGGGCGGACGGGTTCTCGGGATACTGATCTCTGGGCGTCTGCGACGACGACGGGACGCTCTCGTTGCCCTCGGAGTCCGACGAGGACGACTCCACGATCTCACGGGACTTTTTGGGCACCTTTTTGCGTTTGTCCGGTGTTGGTCGGGGAGAGGAGGTTTTGGGCTCCTTTTTGATGTTGGGTTTGCGCAGGCCCTTGTTGGGGGCGCGGGCGCGGTGTGACGGGATCTCAGGCGAGGGTTCGGTCTCTACTTTCAACCCACCTTTCGGTTCCTCAACCACCGGCGGCTTCTCAGTCTTTTTAGGCCGTTTTTTACCCACAAATGGTCGCCCGCCCTGACTTACGGCCTCACTTTGAGCGGGAGACTTCTGACTTCGCCTTTGCCAGCTCTCTGAGCCCTTCTGATTGGGCCGAAGGTCTCGTCCCGAGGAGGGCGTGGGGTCTTTAGATCCGGGGCCACTGTAGACTCTGCTCGAGTTGGTTTCTCGACCCTCTTTCTTATACTTGGTTGGCGTCGTGCTGCTGTTCTCCACCGGAGAAGCCGGGGACAGCTTGTTCTCCTTCTTGATCCAGTTTTCCAGCTGCCATTTGTTAACAGTGGGCTGTTCCCGCTGCGGTCAAACGGGGAAACTTGCATTGAGTGCGGATATTCGGATAAGCATAAAACAATTCCTGTTATGGATTCAATGTTCCATCAATGATCATCATTTACCTGTTTAAAGGGTTAGTTCACCCAAAAATGAAAATTCTGTCAGTATTTACTCACCCTCATGTTGTTCCAAACCTCTATGTGTTTATTTGTTCTGCCATACACAAAGAAAGATATTTGGAAGAATGTTTTAATCAAACAGATCTCATTCCCCATTGACGACCAATGGGGAATGAGATCTGTTTGATTAAAACATTCTTCCAAATATCTTCCTTTGTGTATGGCAGAACAAATAAACACATAGAGGTTTGGATTTTTGGGTGAACTAACCCTTTAACGCTATTAAGCCGCTTTGAATCAAACTGTATTGCATAAAGCGCAATATTACAAAAACTAATTACAAAGCATACAGTGCATTCCATAACTGGTCATTATTGACCAACACTAATGCAAGTTTTAGGTTCTCAGCACTTATTAGGGGTGTAACAATATTTGGCAACACAAAAATGCAAGAATATGTATCGTGAATAGTTCAAATAAAATTCTAGTTTTCAGAGTTTTAGTGTCAGTACTACATTAGACTACTATACAGTATAATGTTGAATATAATGTATAATAATATTCGTGTCCTGATAATGGCAGATGTCTGATGTTATCAGTAAAAGTGTCCTACATTATTTTAAATATATCTAGTTAGAGTTCAAGCATGTTCATCTACAATAATTCAGTATTTTCAGCTTCAGAATCATGAATATTGTTACTCTGGTGTCTCTATTGTCTTTGGGTTTCAGCACCAAGTCCAAGACTATTCATTTACACAAACAATGTAAAACTAAATTTAGCATTTAAATCAACAGCAAAATTTTTGTTAACCTTTTAATAATAATAATAAAAAAAAAAGGTTAATCATATGTCTTTGAGGATCGCAATAGTATCGTATCGAATCGTGACATGAGGGTACCGTTACACCCCCCCTCCACATACTTGGTCTCATCCAGTGTTGGGGAAGTTACTCTAAAAAAGTAATTAATTACTAGTTACTAATTACCTCTTCAACAGTGTAATTAGATTACTGTAATAATTGAAGAGTTCAGATGCAAAAGCCTCTAAATGCCATTTGAAATTTTCTTCTTTAATGATGATTTATCAAACTTGCATATTTAAGTTCAGTAATTTCACTTAAATAACAATTAATAGGTAATTATCATTGCCATTTAAGTGAAAGCACTGAACTTAAATATACAAGTTTGATAAAAATCATCATTAAAGAAGAAAATTTCAAATGGCATTTAGAGGCTTTTGCATCTGAACTCTTCAATTACTCTCTCTAAAAAGTATTTAATTACTTTTAATTACTTTCAAAATCCCATATCAATCTCATCCAGCTGAATAATACAAGGATAGACATGAATCTGTTTAAATTCTTTCAAATAAATACTATAAAATCGCATGAATTATCCTTAAACCGACCAAGGTGGAGAAGGTTACATTATAAAAACATACTTTTTAGCATCAGACAATACATTTTGATGTTAAACCCACTATTGTTTTATGTCTGATCTCATGACATTTGACACTTTTTTCATACATAATTTACAATAATTCATACGAATTTGTACGAGTGCGGTCGTAATATTTAGACACCTCATAAAATGCATACGAATCGCTGTGAGATCGGATTGATCCATACACAGTATTTACCTCAATTACATCAGAAGTAACTGTAATTAAATGAAGAGCAATCACTTACTTTACATTTTCAAGGGAAAAGTAGTTAATTTACAGTAACTAATTACTTAGTAACTAGTTACACCCAACACTGGTCTCATCCCTAATAAAACGCGCTATATAAACCAAACTTCACTAACAATGTTGAGGAAAATCCTATTGAGGTTATAAAGTGTGCAGTCCTGCAGTGATTGTGTGTTCATGAGTTGTGTGTGTGCCAGGGGTTCACCTCAGGAGTTGCAGTACGTGGCGGCTCGTTGGTCTCGCTCTCTGAAGAGCTGCTCTCGCTCTCGCTGTCCGAACTGGAGCTGCTCTCCGACCCGCTGCGCCCGCTGCTGTCCTCTTGCTCCGCACCCCCGCTGTTATTACTGTTGTTACTGAGGTACACATGCAAACTGAGTATCTTCGTGTTGGCTAAATGATTCCTAATGCATCGACTACCAAACATGCAACATTGCAAATGAACATAACAATGAGACGATGTCAAAAAAGCGAGTTAATTCACCTTGCACAAGCTGTGTGTAAGTTACAACTTAGCTCAGGTTTGACGTAAAGGGGTGCCGTTACAACGTACACACTACAAAATACACTTTATTGCACCATTTAAGTGTTATATCACCCAAAAATGTATTTATTACTCAGCCTCATGTAGATCCAAACCCGTATGAGTTTTTTAGTTCATATTCAAAACACAAATGAAGAGATTTTAATGAAGTCTGAGAGATTTTTTTTTCCTTCCACTGAGAGTCCACACAAAATCTATAAAACTAATCCATATGAATCAAGCAGTTTCTGAAGAGACACAATCCAGTCCCTCCAGGATTTCACGATTTTTTTTTGTGATTTTTGCGATCAAAATGACTGATTTTGTGGTGGTAATTTCCAAAAATTTGTGAGTTTTTTTTGTGATTGTTGCGGGCAAAAATTGATTGATTATGCGGCCAGTTTTCTTTAAAAATGCGATGGAGTATGTGGGATATTTATGCAATTTTATGCAATGAAATTGCTGGAATTTACAAAAATTGAGGGAACTTGCAAAAATTGCGGTTTGATGAAAAAGAGAAAAAAAGTGATTCCCCCAACATCCTGTTAATATAAGAGTCATTTCTTATTACTTCCTTTGATAAACAAGCATACTACATCATAGAAAGTGCTGGGAATATTTAATTTCTCATCTTGTTTTATTTCAGACTGTAACGAGTGTAAATAAGGTGTGGCCCCTTTAAGAGCTGCGCGCTCCCTGTTGAACTGTCGAACACCCCATGTGTGCGGGTAATTTCTGTTTGATGCTACTACTTTTATCTTATGTTGTTTATTAAGTAACGACGTGACAGTAGAACGTTCGACAGACAGTTATACGAGTTCGATTTGTGAGATGTCAATCGCCTCGTGAGTCTGTCTGGCGTCGCGTAATTGCGTCACTTCATAACGTTCCCATGGAAACAGGGGGAAATGGCTGCTCTTATGTGAAGCAAACGCAACATTTTTCAACTTTGTGCTAAGATACACGTGACTTTTTTTTGCAACGAAAATGCGAGGATTATGAAATTATGCAAACCCCGCATATTTTGCACGGAAATCGGCAATTTATGCGGCGAAAGTGAGGCGTATTTGAAAAAATGCGGCCCCCGCATAAATATGCGGACTTTGGCTGATTTTGCATTGAATTCAGCGATCGCATAATCGCGTTTTTCTGGAGGGACTGACAATCGCTTTATATGATGAACAGATTTAATTTAGGCCTTTATTCACATATAAACATTCAAAAGCACACATCTGATACGGGAAACGGAAGATATGACATGCTTGACGTGCGAGATCAAGTTACGCATCACGTTTGAGCTTCAGCGATAACCAATGAGGCGTTTGCTTATGTGAATAAAAGTCTCAATTAAATCATACAAAGCGCATGTGTGTCTTCAGAAAATTGACTAAACCACTCAATTCATATGGATTACTTTTGAGATCTCTTTATGAATATTTTGAAGTTGTGTAGCCGTCAACGGAGGAACAGAAATCTCTCAGATTTCATTAAAAGATCTTCATTTGTGTTCTGAAGATGAACGGTTTGGAACGACATGAGGGTTTAGTAATTAATTGAACTTTTATTTTTATTTTTGGGTGAACTAACCCATTAAGGCTAAGGTACCCGTGCATGGGGGATATGTTTTATTGCGTCACCCTCTCCCATGTGATCAAACACAATAAATATCAGCTGTGTGAGTGTGTCACCTTGCTGAGGTGTTTTTGGCAGGATCCTGCTCTCCATCACTGTCTTCGCTGGTGCTGAGCTTCAGATCATCCTGCAGTGTGCTGAAACCAGACCAGGACAACAGGACTTCAGCTAAACTCATACGGACATGATGAGAAGTGTTGCTTTCAAGATAAAAAGCTTTTAAAACTACTATAATATAGGATGTGTCCCAGTAGGACATGAACCGGAACCGGAAGTTGCAAACGACTTCTCTCCAGTGTTGTGACGTATTTCCCAAAATAGTGGGCGTGGCTTTTTTTTCCCAACTAGCACCTGATTGGATCTAGAAAAATGGGCGTTTCATTCTGAAATGGAGGATGACGCAAGTTTACACACGCTGTCAATCAATGCTCGCTCGGCGCTCGCACACACACAGCAACTGTCAGTTGGAGGGGCGTGGTTATGGATGTTAAAGTCCCTATGAAATCAAAATTGACCATACTTACTTTATTTGCCTAAATTGATCGTTTTGTGGTGATCAATTCATACATGCAAGTCAATCCACACAAAAAAATTTTTTGGCTTCGTAATCTTTAATCAAAGTTTGAAAATGCCCCTCCCCTCTGCATTGGAGGACCTTGCCCGATGACGTAGGCTTTACGGTTGGGGTGTCTCCTTAACATCCATAACCACGCCCCTCCAACTGACAGCTGCTGTGTGTTTGCGAGCGCCGAGCGAGCATTGATTGACAGCGTGTGTAAACTTGCGTCATCCTCCATTTCAAAATGAAACACCCATTTTTCTAGATCCAATCAGGTGGTAGTTAGAAAAAAAAAAGCCACGCCCACTATTTTGCCTCATTTAGTATTCCGTTTCTCTCCGAAATAAGTAACACAAAACACTGGAGAAAAGTCGTTTGCAACTTCCGGTTCACGGGGACTTTAAGGAGACACCCAAACCGTAAAGCCTACGTCATCGGGCAAGGTCCTCCAATGAAGAGGGGAGGGGCATTTTCAAAATTTGATTAAAGATTACGAAGCCAAAAAATTTTTTTTGTGTGGATTGACTTGCATGTATGAATTGTTCACCACAAAACGATCAATTTAGGCAAACAAAGTATGGTCAATTTTGATTTCATGGGGACTTTAATATTAGGGCTGTCAGTTAAACGTGTTATTAACGGTGTTAACGCAAACCCATTTTAATGCCGTTAACAGTGTTTTTTGGCCTAGCAAACTTTGTCGTTTTTTTTTTTTCAAATGCTTTTGCAACAGGACGCGGCGCTATGCTTTGAAACCCATTCATTTCAATGGCGTTATTGTTGCTTCGTCGACCAAAGCGCCAGCGTATCTAGCTAGACCGGAAACAAAACAACAGGCACGCCGCACACACTCGTTTGGGCTTGCGAGCCGGCCAAATATTTGATTAACGGTACGTTTGAGTGGATGACGAGCACGAGACGACGAAATGGATGCCAATAAGATTCGGGATGGAAAGTTTACTATGTTACTACGTGAGTTAACTATGACATTAATGCGATTAATCGTGAGTTAACTATGATATTAATGTGATTAATCGTGAGTTAACTATGACATTAATGTGATTAATCGTGAGTTAACTACGATATTAATGCGATTAATCGTGAGTTAACTATTTCATTAATGCGATTAATCGTGAGTTAACTATGATATTAATGTGATTAATCGTGAGTTAACTATGACATTAATGCGATTAATCGTGAGTTAGCTATGACATTAATGCGATTAATCGTGAGTTAACTATGATATTAATGTGATTAATCGTGAGCTAACTATGACATTAATGTGATTAATCGTGAGTTAACTACGACATTAATGCGATTAATCGTGAGTTAACTACGACATTAATGCGATTAATCGTGAGTTAACTACGATATTAATGCGATTAATCGTGAGTTAACTATGATATTAATGTGATTAATCGTGAGTTAACTATGACATTAATGCGATTAATCGTGAGTCAACTATGACATTATTGCGATTAATCGCGATTAAATATTTTAATCGTTTGACAGCACTAGTATTGACATAATCATCATTTGACAAGACCAAAGTGATCTGTTTTGTTGTTGTGAACTGAGATATCATCATCGCAGCACTTAAAATCTGAAATACCGCTTGATGATGGCCAAGCACACACACACACACACACACACACAGCTGATGCGAATTCTCCGCCCCCTCGTCAATATCAGGACCTCGTCAGTATTTCTTGCACCCTTTTATTGATGGACAGAGTTACATTGTGTGAAAGATTATTTGCTCTAAGTGAGAATGTTAGTGTGAAATTGAACAAAGTAAATGCCAATGTTGTTTTCAATAAAAACATTTGCACAAAGCGAGCCGATCCACCTTTCCATGTTGATAAAGTCATTAAATCTTTGGCTTGTTTAGTTGGGGATAGGGGTCGATCGGTATGTGATTTTCAGGTCCGATGCAGATACCGAATATTACAGATCAAATAGACCAACAATATATATATATTTCGGTTCAAAATGTCGGTTATCAGTCTTTTTGATCTGTAATAATCGGTACCCGACCCGAATTTCAGGTACCATCCAAATGTAAGGAAATGTTATAATTACTGTAATAAAAAAAGAAAGCCACAAAGCATGTGAAATTCATGCTTTCCAGGAATGCGATTTGAAAAGGGTTTCAAACCACATATGGATGTAGTTTGAAAGAGATCTATATTAAATGCATTTCATATTAAACGCATCAGCTAATTCTGATCGGATTCAGATCGTCCATGCACAGTCTAAATTAGATTGCACTGGGTTGAAATATTCAACGGATTAAATATCTAAATCTTTAGTGAGCAGAAAGAGCTTGTGACAGAACAGGCATATCAGAGACTCACTTGGACTGGTCGCTGTCGCTCGGCTTCGACGGGTGACTGGTGGATGCGATCTTCCCTGAGATTTTTTCTGAGAGAGGGAAAATCAGCACACAAACAAATGCATCAATTTAAACGGTTAAAGAAACACTTAATTAGTCAATTAAATGACTGCTAGAACTTACTCTGTGGCCCAAAAGGCAGGTGCTGGGGATCCTACAACAAAGAAGCTAACAATTACAAGTTGAATACACGTATACATACATCATAAACTGGTTTTTAAATGCTAAAACAGAAGATCAAAATGAATATGAACACTGTTGAATGAAGAAATGCAATGACAATCATGCACTTTGCACTCTGCTTTGAACCAGGGCTGGGTTTCCTCAAGTTACGGATGCACTTACACAGTTTTATGCACTATTGTAACCTAATTTCCCTTGCATGCACATTAAGGAAGTTATATTTTATTTAAGAACAAAGTTAATGCACTTTAAAAAGTGAATGTTATTTAATTTCAATTGATTTGGGTTATGTTTGCTTAATGCGCTCGCTTGCGCCCTCTTGTGCTTACAGGAGACGACACAGCACTGTTTTCCTCTAATCACATTATTAAAGGGATACCCCACCGTTTTCTCATATTAAACTGTTATTCCTTAACTAAGACGAGTTGATGCATACCTCGAGACACTTTGATAGCACTTAAATAGCCCAGTTCATTCATTAGGATCCAAGCAGAGAAGCGATCAAACACCTTCACGTTTTCCCTATTAAAATACAGTTACTCGAGTAGAGTAACTCGACCAAGAATGGTGACACAAAATTAAAAAAATGGTGACACTTGCAAGCACATCGGCCTCTCCCTCTCCGGAGTGATGATATCAAAGTGCTCCCAAGCACTCGAAAAGAAATGAAGGTTTTTGATGAAAACATTCCAGGATTTTCTCCATATAATGGACTTCAATGGGAACCAAACGGTTCAAGGTCCAAAAGACACTTTCAGTGCAAACTGTTCAAAGGGCTTCAAACGACACCAGACGATGAATAAGGGTCTTATCAAGCGAAACGATCGTTTTTTTAGTAATAAGTTAAGTATAAGTTTTCATTTTCGTTCGTGACTCTCCTGTTTAAACTCGTTCACAGAACAGAGCAAGGCGACCATTTGAGCTTATAAAACTTACACTTTGTTATTCATTTATTAAATGAGCGATCGTTTCGATTGATAAGACCCTTATTCATCATCTGGTGTCGTTTAAAGCCCTTTGAAGCTGCACTGAAAGTGTCTTTTGGACCTTGAACCGTTTGGTTCCCATTGAAGTCCATTATATGGAGAAAATCCTGGAATGTTTTCATCAAAAACCTTCATTTCTTTTCGACTGAAGAAAGAAAGACATGGACATCTTGTATGACATGGGGATGAGTAAATTATCAGCAAAAGTTTTTTTTAAGGTGAACTACTCCTTTAAGGGCTATCAAAGTGTCTCGCGTATGCATCAACTCGTCTTAGTTAAGGGAATAACAGTTTAATATGAAGAAACGGTGGAGTATCCCTTTAAGCATTGCCTTTAGAATTCGAATATCATTCACATTTCGCTAATATTTAAGAAATTTAGCTTTTCAGCCATTTTGACAGCCCCATATTGAACGGCTATGTTTAAACCGTCCTGCAAACATGATGAAATGGACTGAGACAGGTGTGTGGTGGCCTCGTGTCTGACCTTGGAGGTGGAGAAAGGAAACTTTGAAGGTTCAGTCTTGCAGGGCGTGTGAATGGCTGTCAGCGGAGGAGGCCAGACCTGAGTCATTTCCTGGAGAAGAAAACACCGTTCAATCGCAGAAACCAGAGATCAAGCTGGTTTTAAAACGAATTTTCCCCTCTGCACATTGCCACCGTCATTTCTTCTATCTGCCTTTTTATAGCCGGACTGCATTCAGACTAGAGCCCGACCGATAAAGGATTTTGAAGGCGGATACCGATACAAATATTTTTTGGTTTTAAAATCCGATATATCGGCCGATATTTTTTTATTTTCTCAGAAACGCGCAACAAAACATTAACAGATTTCCCTAACATAGTTATTTTTCGTTATTTATGAGTTTTAACAAAAATAATATGATAAAGCATTTTAAAAAGAAACTTGTTTCTTTTGTCACAACAGAACAGAGGAACATCAAAATATATTAAAGTTCTGATAAATAAAATAATAATTAGCCCCAACATTGCCTACCTTATAATTACAATGTCAAGTTAGCTAGTCTGTGATGAGCCATAATTTAGCACTAGATAATGTTATACTGCAAATTGTAAAACATACATTTTCAATTTAACAGGCCAAGGAGAGATGATTGAAGCGTGTTTCGTCCGTGTTTCGCCATTATAACTGCCGATACCGATAGTTTGGAAAATGTCTAATATCGGCCAATAATATCGGTCTGGCTCTAATTCAGACTTTCGCTCTAATGCGCCTCAGCGGACGGCGATCTCGGCACCACTTACACGTCGCACGAGAGCTGACCGAAACATTGCCAAGACTTATTACCGTGTGTTAAAAATATTGACATCCAAAGTACTTTCCAGCGTTTCTTGCGGTTCCTTTCTTTACGAACGGATTACAAGTGAAGAAAAGTGACGAGAGAAGCCGACAAACGTTGAGGTTGGCTAGTCTAAAAGATTAAAATCTTGAAGTTTTAGGCCATGTGTCCACCAAAGCGTTTTTCCACGCGCCTGGCGTATGTTTTCAATTGTTTTCAATGGGAGCGCCACGTTTTTTTAAACGCCTTGAGCATACCGAGGCGTTGAGCGTTTTTTTCATGCTGAAGCGCCGAGCGCCCAGCGTTTTTTACTGGTCGCTGGGAGTTGAAAAATGTTCAACTTTGGATAAAACGCAGCGCTCATCACCGTCACTTTTTACCCAGCCATCCAATCACAGTGGAGGAGGGGCGGGACTAATACCACACCGACCAACTGTCACAACATTCAAACTGCTGCGGATATTCTGTATCATAGCAACGAAACGTCTCAATGGAAAAAAACGCTGCGCTGCCAAAACGCTCTCAAGCGCCCAAAGCACGGCGTCTTCAGCAGAGCGTCTAGCGTTTTCAGCTGGCTAAAAACGCTTTGGTGGACACACCGCCTTAGGGTTTTATTCACACACACACGACTATTCTAAATCCAATCAGACTGCTAAGAAACCACATTAGCATGTTTTCATATGATCCTAGCCACTGTTTGCATGATTTTGCTAGATGAGGTGTTGCTAGCACGTTGCTAGGCATCATTGGTATGTTGTCAGACCATTTTAACACATAGCTAGTAATTTTTAGCATGTTTAACGTTTTTTCTGTGTTGGTAATCACTGCTAGTCTGTTGTCAGCATGTTTTAACGTTAATACTGCTAGGCATTTTATGCATTTAACGTATTGCAAGGGATTGTTAGTTTATTGTCAGCATATTTGAACACGTAGCTAGTCATTTCTTGCGGTTCCTTTCTTTACGAACGGATAAAAGTGAAGAAAATGGGAGAAAAGCTGAAATGAGGTTGGCTAGTCTAAAAGATTACAATCTTAATTGTCACACACTTCTAGATCCCATCAGAATGCTAAGAAACCACATTAGCGTAGCTAGTCATTAACACGTAGCTATTCATTTTTAGCATGTTTTAACGCTGTTAACATATAAACGTAAAACACTGCATATTCTTAAGCATAGCTAACATGTTATTAAACACTGCTAGTCAGCATTTTTTAACATGCTGCTACGCACTGTTAGCAATAAACATGCGTAAAACGAGCTAAGTTGAGGAAATTATAGCAACTTTAATATTTCAGTGTTCTTTTACTATTGATGGCAAATAATAAAATGGTTCTTACCTTTAAAATTTCATCAACACAGCTCGCATCTCCTCCCATTGAACCCTGTGAGAATGAACAAAACCATGCAGATCATTGAGCAACACAAGAATCATCAAACATACAAGGTTGTGTACGACTATAAGTCAAGTGTAACTTATAAGTTGTAAAACCCATACATGCTTCTAGCCAGTGTCATTTTAAATGGGTCATATAATTGATGGATTTAATTAATAATATTAATAACGGTCCTGATTTCCTCAATGGTTCATGCTAAGTTGTGGCACAAAGCCAGTGGGGTCGCGCAGTGTTTTACGCTGGCGAGCCAAAACGCTGCAATGAATCCTGAAGAAACTCTTTCTGACTAAACAAAACTGCTTGATTACATTTTTCCGTGTGTGTGATCCAACCGAACGGCCACATTTATACAACTAATTCCCTGCATATACACACACAAAATCTGAAGGCGTAAAAGTCTCAATACTTGTAATTAATGTTATTTATGGACACATCTGGAGGGTCTTATAACATGTCATACAAACATTTGTGCGTCTTGGGACGAACAAGAGGCACAAGACGGGTCTTTATTAAAGGGATAGTCACTTCAAAATGAAAATAGTGTCATCATATAAATTATTTTGAAGAATCTCAGTAACCAAACTGTTAACTGGACCTTTTTTTCCCTGTTATGGAAGTCAATGGGTCGAGTTAACAGTTTGATTACTGACATCACTTTGTGTTCAGAAGAAAGACGATCATACAGGTTTGAAACGACTTGAGGGTGAGTATATGATGACACATTTTCATTTTTAAGTGACTATCCCTTTAAGAACCAAAAATTCCTTTAAATCTAATTTTCATTCAATGACCTTTCAATGACAAGGATTGGGCAGTTCAGATAAAATAAAAGACACGTAAAAGACATAATAACTTTTAACCTTTAAATAAATACTTTACAGATATAAACATTTTGGCCGATAACAATAATTCTTTATATTTGAAAGCCGATAACCGATATATCGGCCGATAAATCTAAATTTTTATATAATTTTTGAGAGCCTGATCAAAAAAACAAAAACAAAAGTCTCACCATTAAAAGCCACATCCTAAACACACATTTATACTGTTCTCATTATAATTTTATGTAGATTGACAGACTTGTGCAAGTTGAACTTTACTGTATTTTGAAGTGATTCAAAGCAATTTAAAATCATCATGTTGAACAGTGCGCATCTGAAGTGTTTCAACTGGAGGAAATAACATGATTTAGCTGATATATAAAAGCCGATAAATAATGTATTATCGGGCCGATAACGATAATATTAAAAATGAATATATATTGACCGATACCGATATGGTGGCCGATATATTGTGCATCCCTAGTTAAAATATTTAAGCTTCTTTATGTTAAAAACCTGTGGGAACACAGTAAACCCAAATAAGTTGGAAAAAATCAAAATTTGAGGTTATCAGTTTTATTTAAAAAAAATTAAGTTAAGAAATTCAAAGTTTTAGTAAGCAGAAGTTGCAGGTTTTTATTTTGTACTCATACAATCGGAATTACTATTAACTTGAAATATTTAAGTCAGTGAATTCATACATTTATCTCGAAATTATCATGTAAACTCAACTTAAATAATTTTAGTTTTAGTTTAAACTTAACTAGCTAATTCAATCAATACTAACTTGCTTATCGCTAACACAATGCTATAAGGCATTAGCAAAGCATAGCAGTTGTTGAATAACTACATCAATATAGAGCATTTTACATTTTTACATTTTTTTAGAGCATCTCAAGCTAAACTTTGGTAATATTAAAAAAAAAAAAAACCCACATTCCAGAAACTCTTCTAAATGAACATAGCAAAACATCAAACACTACTAAATCTCCCATTTTACATTAATCTTACTCATTTACTCGCCCTGTTGAGTGTCATGGCAAAGCATGCTGGGAAATACAAATCCAAGCCCAGGTACATTTAAGTTTGTCTAAATTAAAAGAAACAAGTTCATAAAACTCAAAACAATGAAACAATTCATTTGATTTAAAATATGTCCATTTTGTGACCTCAAAAGAAAAATAAAGTTCAAAATACTCATAAAAGTTAATTTGTCACGGTTCAGTGGATTTCCACACTTTCTGAATTTATAGCAAGTTCTTATGATTTTGAATGATCATTCAATGGGCGTGGCAAACGGTCAAGTGTTCATCGTTCATCTGTCCGACATCAGAAACTGATGTTTTTGCAGGTTAGTTTTGACTTGGGTGCAGTAAAGATTTCTGGGCTCATCTGCAGTTGAAACATACAATTGCAAGTTACTTGTAGAGTAACTGCGTTTCTGCACACATAACCTGAAGGTGTAAAGTATACACATGGATTATTGATAATATATCGCTGATAGTAAGAAGAAAGTCCCACAAAAACATGGAATAGTAGTTTGACCTTATCTTATTAGTATCTGCAACCTGAACATGGTTTAGACTGCAAAGTTGTTGTCTATGGTAGCATGCTAAACTGTGGGGGAAAATATACGCAAAAACTTCAAGGTCCGGACAAAAAATAAAATAAGGGAGCAAATATCCATAGATCCCATGTTAAAATGTCCGTTTTCACAGCATAAATTCGTGCTTTTACAGGTTGCAGGTACAGGTACTTTTATTGTATTTTTGGATAGGTTCCTCGTGCCTGACAACTGTGAGGGCGGTGAATTGTTTTCTAACTCGTTAGTTTAGATGGGATTTAGATATAAAATGTATGACAAATAAGGGCGGTTAACTTTGATTGACAGCTGATAACGGGCTGCGCAGAGTGGAATTTGACGTCTCGGCCATGATCCGACACAACAAATCATACCACCTCTGTATCCTTTCTGAGACTTTTGTATTTCCCAAGATTTTCCAGTATGGCGCCGCCCACACCCCCCATAAGTCTAAGTCTATGACGTCACGCCCAGTCTCAAATTCTGTACAGGATTATAGAGGCAATCGCAGTGATCGGAGAAGGGCTCGTTCAGCCCATCAAGCGATCGTTTAAAGGGATACTCCACTTTTTTTGGAAATACGCTCATTTTACCACTCCCACTTGACCACATGACTTCCATAGTAGGGCTGTATTCAACCAAAGAAATCCTTAGTCGACCAAAGTCGACGATTAATCGACTAAAAAAAAAAAAAAAAAAAAAAAAAAAAAACGTGATGTTTTGATTAAACATTTTTTAAACAATTGTCATTGAGCATTTATAAAACAACAACGAAAAAACATCACAAATAAATAAAACTATAATAATAATACAATTCTTTGAAAATGAAGTGATTTTTTAACTGCAAAATGTGAAGAGCTCTGTCCTAGGTCTATAGTACAGTCCCAATCGCGCACCTGACCACACCACACGCTGCAAAAAAATATAACTGCTATCTGCCACATAATGAAAAATCCCAACAAAAGCTCTCGTTTATACAGGCTTTATATTCTTCTTTACTTTCAAAGTTATGGGTTAACTTTAGTCCTGACGATCAAGGCGTTTTAAACAACACACAAAAAAACAAATAACTTAAAACAATCCTAATAATAGGCTGTAGGACCGCGTATAGGTTTATTTTCGTTTTGTCGCATTATTTAGGCTATTTTCAAATGCGTCAAGTGTACAAACGAAAACATTAAGAAAACACAATCTATTGAGTCAGCATGATATAGCCGTTAAAAGGCTGCTCACGTCTTTTGCGCGCTCAAGTTCGATTTCAAATGTAGGCGCGCGACTTGCGCGCTCATAATGGAGCAACGCGATCGCCTCCCTCCACAGTCTTGTCGTCTTTGTTTTAAAATGCAGCCAGACAAAAGATTTATATTTCCTGGACATGTTGTCGACTAAAGCCAAAACAAGCAGCGTTCTAACTGAATGAATACAGCATCCCTTACCGAGCGCGAGCAGCAGCGCAGCCAGCCACAGGTGCGGTTCCCGAGTGTATTACGTGTGTGCGCTAAACTGTGGCGCAGTTACAAAAATAACCTAAATTAAAGCATTTTAAAGTTGGGGACAAAACATAGGCTAATTATATTTAGAATACAGTAATAAATAACTGCTTATAAATGAATAAATATCAAGGCGTAAATCATTGAAAAATTCTTTCTATTGGTAAAAAAAAAAAAATGCAACTGGTCGACCAATAAGAATGTCAGTCGACCAAGACGGCATCGACCGATTAGTCGACTAAACGACTAAAGTTGACAGCCCTATTCCATAGTATATTTTTTTCCTACTAAGGAAGTCAATGAGACCAGAAACTGTCTGGTTACTGATATTCTTCTAAATATCAGAAGATCGGCTAAATGGATTCGAAAACGGTAAAACCCAACTGCAGTGTTGGGGAGTAGTTAACTACAAGTAGCGACGCTACTAACTTAACTACATTTTTCAGTAGCTTGGCAGTAGCTCAGTTGCTTTAAAAAAATAAAATAAAATAAAAAAAACTTTGACTTGACTTTTTAAACAGTGTAGCTTTTTCAGTAGCTAACTACTTTTTGCATCAAGTAGCGGTGTAACGCGAGCAAAAGCTACATTGCGTTTCCCGAGTCTGCGCAAATCAGCGCGATACAAGGATATTCTTCTTGTTAGATTACAAACTCATTTTTTGCCATTACCGCCACCTGTTTAATCACGCATCTTGCGGCTAACGGTTCACTGACGTACAGAAGTGGGTTGACACACCCATATTATGATTATCCATGATGTTTGATCTGCTCATCGAATTAACGTTGAACCAACGTCAGACGCGGCATTCTTCAAAGCTAAATGAAAATCGAAAATTGGCTTGCTTTCATAACGTTGAAACAACGTTGATTTCAAGTTGATTTTCAGTTAGTTTTGAAAGAATGACGCGTCTGACGTTGGTTCAACGTTAATTCGATGAGCAAAACAATGTCAGATCAACGTTGTTTCGATGTCATGTTTCCACGTCGATTCAATGTCGGTTTGCTATCTGGGTATTTGTCCAAGTTCAATCGGTATTTTTGAGAAAACGTTCTACATGCAATTTACGTTGGATGTATATTTTGTTCTTGCAGTGTTGTAGGCTATTTGTTGCAATTTTGCACTTTTGACAAACAGTCTGAGATATTTGAGTGTTGCGTGTAATAAAACAATACTCTTTGAAATCATAATTGCATTGCATTATTTTAAACACTAAATATTCTACTTAAAACATTCCTCAGACACTTATTCAGTTATTTATAATATACGTTGTTCAAAAAAGCAAAAGTAGTTTCAGTGTAGCTAGCTACTTTTTGATAGTAACTTGTAGTGTAGCTAACTACTTTTCCAAAAGGGTAGCTTGACTGTAGTTTAACTACTTTAACTTACGAGTAGCTTGTAGCTTGTCAAACAACAGTTTCAGAGTAGCTTCCCCAACACTGCCCAACTGTTTAACTCTGGGGGAGTGGTAAAATGAGCCTGTTTCCAAAAAAAGTGGAGTATCCCTTTAAGCATGTATGGGTTAGAAAAACGGCTATTTTTAACAATGAAAGTTGCGCAATGCACCTTTAAAGGGTTAGTTCACCCAAAAATGAAAATTAAGTCATTAATTACTCACCCCCATGCTGTACCAACCCAGTAAGACCTTCGTTCGTCTTCGGAACACAAATGAAGATATTTTTGATTAAATTTGAGAGCTGTATAACTACCACATTGGCTCCTAAGGGACTGGCTCTTGACGGCCCAGAAAGTCAATGAAGAAAATGTTTAAATATCCCAAGTGACTACCGTGGCTCAACTATAAGTTTATCAAGCGACGAGAATACTTTTTGTGCGAAAAAACAAACAAAAATAACGACTTTATTCAACTATTCCTTTTCTTCCTTGCAGGCCTGAGACGAGAGTTCAAGAGATTTCCACGACGCATGCGCGAGAATTGCGATCTCCTTCAACTACTTCAGTTCAGTTCTCACACGTGCGTCGTGGAAATCTAAGGAAGTCTCGTTTCAGGCCAACAAGGAAGAAAAGGAATAGTCGAATAAAGTCGTTATTTTTGTTTTTCGCACAAAAAGTATTCTCGTCGCTTGATAAACTTATAGTTGAGCCACGGTAGTCACATGGAATATTTAAACATTTTCTTCATTGACTTTCTGGGCCGTCAAGAGCCAGTCCCTTAGGCAGCCAATGTGGTAGTGATCCAGCTCTCAAATTTAATCAAAAATATCTTCATTTGTGTTCCGAAGATGAACGAAGGTCTTACGGGGTTGGTACAGCATGGGGTTGAGTAATTAAAGACTTAATTTTCATTTTTTGGGTGAACTAACCCTTTAAGCTCAGGCTGTTTTAACCCAAACAGATGTGACTACTAATGAACTGAAAGGTTCGATAACGTGTGAGAAAAGCAAGCGTGACTTACGTCGACAGGCTGCGTGGGGATCTTGAGCCTGGTGAGAGAAGCCTTCCCATTGGGCTTCATTTCTCCCACGGCACCGCTGTGCGACTGGCCACCGTACGAGTCCGAGGCGCTCTTGGGCTCGGCCGTCTCCAGGCCGTCCATGGGCCGCACATACGCGGTGGGTTTCTGGAGCATGGAGCTGGGCTTGATGAGGGAGGGCGGGAAGGTCTGGCTGGGATGCTGTCCGCTGGAGAAGGAAGGAACTCTGGAGGGCGAGTCCCAGTTGGCTTCTCGGTCGCGGGGGGATTTGGTGCGGGAGCGCGAGTGTGAGCCGGAGCTCACGGAGCCCTTGGCCGGGCTGGAGGTGGAGTGGGACTTGTGTTCGGATCCGTGCTTGCTGGACTTCTTCCCGCTACGGCTTCCCTGCACTGACGAACGCTTCGGCAAGGAGGAAGAGGAGGAGGAGGAGGTCGTGGAAGAGATGCCAGGAGGAGCCGGGCCAACCGGAGTCCATTTACTGTTCTGACCCTGTGTGCCTCCGCGCTGGTCGCCGTACTGGCCGGGCTTATCTTCCGAGGACGAGCTGGAGGCTTTGGGAATGAGCTTGGACATTGGGGGTTCACCGAGGGTCTCCTTCATCTCGTCGTAATTTCCCAGCATGCTCTGGATGCGACTTGAGAGTTTATCTTCCTTGGCCTGCTGGGAGAAAAAGGACAGTGTTGAGACGAGCATGAGAACGGCAACCAAAATATTGAGTTAATGGTTCGGCCTTGTTTGTCACTACAAAGTTTGTCGGCTCTCTTTGATTGGATTGGCGGTACGACAAATCCATTAACTATGGTATTTGGCAGTAATAAATTCATATTTTACCGTTATTATTAACTTTTACCCAGTCACTGACAGAATATTCCTGCTTTCGGTGTTAACGGTACAGCTATTATGCATCTTCGGAAAGAGTACAGACTCTCCCGAAGCAAAAAAACAAGCATTTTTTGACGTTATAGTAGGGGTGTAACGACACCCTCATGTCACGATTCGATACGATATTATTGCGATACTCCAAGACATATGATAAAAGGTTATGAAAAAAAATGTACTGTTGATTTAAATGCTAACTTTGATATTACATTGTAGGTTTAAATGAATAGGTTTGGACTTGGTGCTTGTAACCCAAGGACAATGGTGACACCAGAATAAAAATATACAAAAATTTAAAATACAGAATTATTTTAGACGAATATGCTTTTACTCTGTCACTGACTAGATATATTTAAAATAAAGTCGGACACTTTTTACAAGTAACGCCAGACATTTGGCGTTACCAGGACCCACAAATATTCCCCCATTGAATTATTATACATTTTAATATACAAGTAATTTAATGTAGTACTGACAGTAAAATGTAATTTTTTTCTCGCACAGTAATTTTTATTTTGGGGGAACTATCCACGATACGTATTGTTGCATTTTTTATTGCGAAATATTGTGGCACGATACATTGTTACACCCCTACGACAACGTTATAGTCATTGAAAATAAAATAATAAATTCTCATGTTCATATTGTGTGTTACAAAACAATATTCTGGGCCCTATGAAATTTGCTTGAAAATGATCAAAAATGCTGGCAGGGAAAGAGTTGTAGGGAAATATATTGCCGTTTCTGAATTTTGCAATATATTTTAATACATTTTAGTTCAAGTTTTAGCAATTTTGCTGTGTGATGTCATTATTATTCGTTTCTAATGTCTAAACTGTTTTTTTTTACTCTCTTTCTTTATTTCAGTTTTTTTTAGTACATTCAGTTAGACTTAATTATAATTAATTAGTATGTGTTTTTCCTAAGCAACCAGGTGATAAAGTATATTTAATTTAATTTAACATTTAATTCAAGTATTAGTTTTAGTTAACTGTAATAACCCCGGTTAGAGACCACACTTCCATCTCACCATGCTAGTGAGAGTCATCTATAGTTTTAACAGTTAGGGACAGGTAAAACCAAAGGTACTGTGGAAGTTACTATGATAAAAGAATAGCAATAGGTCAAATACAAAATAAAATCATTAGAAAAGTCCATCTAGATGTGAAAAACCTGTCTATTTCCAATAGTCTCGACTCAAAAAGCAATTAACTTCGTCACCTGAATCTTTTATAAATCGTTTCTTTTTGTAAATATCAAAATGTATAGATTTGACATGGAGAAAATGAAATGGTGCTTCTGCTTATTATGAGGGCAGTTGACAGAAAATCATAACTCCTGGCAAAAGTAACAATTCATAACTCATTTGCACGTTGCACTTGTTGTTTGATCCGTGCAACAGTCAAGATTTAGAGACAACGCAGAATCATGTGACACACACTAGGACTCAATATTGGTTTATAACTTGATCTGTCCAGGATGTTCATGTCAGGCACACCAAAGCAGATCGTTATGTGAAATATGTTTTGCACTGAGTTCATCCAAAATAAGCAGTGCGTTGTGTCCTGGAGGAAATGTCAAAGCAGGGGTTTCCCGCTGTCAGTCGGCTCCTTCGGGGAATATGACAGACGTTGTTCTCTACCGGACAGGCTCACGTTTCTTACATCCTGTGACGGGTTCACCGACAATCAAGCACTTAATGCTGAGCAAAGCAGGTTAGCACAGGAGACTAATCTTCTTTACAGTAGCATATGGGACTATAATATCTCTGTTATGTGATAAAAACGGAGGGTTTTACTCCATGCTAGCTTTGAGGCCTTTATATGCGCACACACACACACGTGTATTTCCTAAAAAATTAACAGATTTAGCAGACATACACGTATAACTAAAAATATTAAAAGACACATCTTACACTTCAAAGTTTAGTCCAATAAAACAGAACACACAAGCCAAAACTTCCTGTTTCAAAGGGAAATGAGTCAACACAAAGACACTGTGCTTGTCAGGAGGTGTGTAAATATTAAAATCTGAGTGAAATATGAGTGAAGGGGCAACAAGTTTTGAAAAGTGATATTTTACTATTATTTACAACAGCATCTGCATTTCCATGGATTAAAATGAAAGATTTTTGTTAAAGAGCCAATTATAATAATAATTAACAGAAAAACTAAACTTTTCTGGTATAAAAAGGAACTTGATTTTCGACAGAAGAATGTAACATTTTTCAGTCTCTGAGTAACATTAGTCACGAAATAAACGTCGTTCACTAAGCAAAAAGCAAGCGTGTTTTATAACTACACGTCATCTCATTCCTCAAATTAGAACAAACAACATTGACATGAAGGGAACGCATTCCCTTACAGTCCGTCTGTTTTCAAATCCATACCACGACATTAACGTCCGTCAAAGATAATACGAAAAGCAAAACCCAAACTCCAGTCATTGCTTTCCGAGAAGAGGGAGAAAATGGCGGCCTGAGCGTCTGTCAAAGACGATACCGTACCGAATACATACATAATGCACTAGAGTGTTGATTAGTTCTAGGGAACGGAGGGAAATACTTCACAGTACAAACGCCAATTCGATTGTAAAACTTCACATTTTAATGCACAAACTACCAATTTCTGATTCTTTGATACCCAAACCGTTAGATCGTAAGGTTAGATCCTAACTGAGCATAAACAGTAAAGACAGAAACAGATGTGTATCTTTATATTGGATCTGCACTTTAGGTCTTAAAGTGACAGTGCCATTAATGTTTAAGATGAATCAATATTACATGTATACAGTGTTATTTTACATTTAATTATTACATTTCTGCACCTAAAAGTAATACTAGGGCTGTCAAACGATTAATCGTGATTAATCGCATTCAAAATAAAAGTTTGTGTTTACATAATATTGTATAATTATTTTAGATATTATATATATAATTTATATTATATATAAATATCAATATTTTATATATAAATAATATTTTTTTTCTGAAATATACATGCATACAAAATAATTATACACACTACACACACATAAATAATGTAAACACAAACTTTAATTTTGGATGCGATTAATCACGAGTAATCGTTTGACAGCCCTAAGTAATACTACACTTAGACTTATTTTATTTGAAACTTTGTTATATTGTATTTATCCATGCTTGTATTTATTCTTATTTTTTACTGATTGTTCACTAGCTTGCCTTTAATGTTTGAACTTTATCAGTTAGGCAAGTAGTGTCTGAAAACCCCCCAAATATTACTTTTTTCTTGCTGATCCGAAAAAAAATATCCTTCCGTGACTTAAAAACGGCAATAGGATCCGAACCGAGAGTTCTGTGATCGTTAAACAACTAGACAAAATAAAAAAATGCTATTGTCTTCGCAGTACATCTCGTATCGCTCTCGTCACACTGATTTCAGACTGCAAACTCACAGCTCAAATGATATCATCTGATGAAAGATTATGAAATTTCTCAATGACCAGCGCTAACTGGGAATGTGCTTTACTTCACAACTGGGAACTATATGAAAGTGGGCAACAATTGGCTGAGGACTTATCACATATTTAGGAAGTTAGCCATTAACCAAGTCCATCTAACAATGCAAGTACTTACCCATAAAATGCCCTGCAATAACCGTAAGGGTTGAAATATCAAATGAAATCTGACGCCAATAACGCCAGTACAAAGCATGGTTTATGGGACATACCACAGAGCACAAAGGAGCAGCTTGTAAACACCATTATTGATGTGTGTGTGTGTGTGTGTGTGTGTGTGTATATAAAAAGAAAATCGACTCATAGTTGTCTCTGGATACACCACAATTTTCAAAATACTTGATTATGATAATATTGTATAAAGTAGCCAACATGTGGTGTTTAAATCCAGCAATTAAAGCATCTTTTTAGCTATCATTACATATTTTACATAGAGGCAAAATATGACCAGTTAATATTGAGCTTAATAAGAGGTAACCGTATACGAATAAGAGCTGCACGATTAATCGTTAAAAGAGTGATCTCGTTACTAAATGACTACAGGGATTCGCCGATCCGGAGACAGCAGTTGGCATGCATCAAACAGTCACACACATCATCAATATTTCTGACTGTCGTACAATAATTCATATTATCACAGAAGTACTGTGATAAAAGTTAGTTCAGATGTCAAAATAGAGCAAATCTGCTTTAGAAAGTAACTTGACGCTTTAAATAAAGATTACACCAGTAGGTGGCGACAAGCGACTATCAAAATATGTATTAGTCATTGAATCATTCACTCAAGAGATTTGTTCAAATATGCCGATTCATCGAGTATTTATGAGTGAGTCATTGAATCGTTCATTCGAAAGATTCACCCAGAAACAAGGAAAATCTGTATGAGTGAGTCAATGAATTGTTCATTCGAAAGATTCATCCAGAAACAAGTAAAGTCTGTATGAGTGAGTCATTGAATCATTCATTCAAACATCAACTCAGATTAATTAAACATTTTAAATAGACTCCATTTTGTCAGAAACTCTAGTAATTTTGTTTAGTTTGTGGATCTCTATTTGAAATGAAAAATTTGTGATTCTCATTGTAACCAATTTTTTTTAAACTTGGTTAATTGTAATCATTCAGTAATGACGGTCACTGTACAACTGTACCGCCACAAAACTTTTATCAGTAGTGAGGAGGAAGATTAACGGAGCATTATATATATTTATCGATTACATGGTTACACCCGTAGGTGGCGACCAGCGACTGTCAAAATATGTATTTGTCATTGAATTATTCACTCAAGAGATTTGTTCAAATATGCCGATTCATCGAGTATTTATGACTCATTCGTTTATTCGAAAGATTCATCCAGAAACAAGTAAAATCTGTATGAGTGAGTCATTGAATCGTTCATTCAAACATCAACTCAGATTAAACATTTTAAATAGACTTCATTTTGTCAGACCCAAGTAAATTACATGTAATTTGTTTAGTTCGTGGATCTCTATTTGAAATGAAAAATCTGTGATTTTCAATGCATCCAGAATTGTGTTACTAATCATTCATTAATGACGGTCACTGTACAACTGTACCGCCACAAAGCTTTTATCAGTAGTGATGAGGAAAATTAACGGAGCATCATATATATATATATATTGATTACATGGTTACACCCGTAGGTGGCGACCAGTGACTATCAAAATATGTATTAGTCATTGAATCATTCACTCAAGAGATTTGTTCAAATATGCCGAATCATCGAGTATTTATGACTCATTCGTTTATTCGAAAGATTCATCCAGAAACAAGTCAAATCTGTATGAGTGAGTCATTGAATCGTTCATTCAAACATCAACTCAGATTAATTAAACATTTTAAATAGACTTCATTTTGTCAGACCCAAGTAAATTACATGCAATTTTGTTTATTTCGTGGATCTCTATTTGAAATGAAAAATCTGTGATTCTCATAGTAACCAGAACTGTGTTACTAATCATTCATTAATGACGGTCACTGTACAACTGTACCGCCACAAAGCTTTTATCAGTAGTGATGAGGAAAATTAACGGAGCATTAATATATATATATATTGATTACATGGTTACACCCGTAGGTGGCGACCAGCGACTATCAAAATATGTATTTGTCATTGAATCATTCACTCAAGAGATTTGTTCAAATATGCCGATTCATCGAGTATTTATGACTCATTCGTTTATTCGAAAGATTCATCCAGAAACAAGTAAAATCTGTATGAGTGAGTCATTGAATCATTCATTCAGACATCAACTCAGATTAATTAAACATTTTAAATAGACTCAATTTTGTCAGAACCTAAGTAAATTACATGTTATTTGTTTAGTTCGGGGATCTCTATTTGAAATGAAAAATCTGTGATTCTCATAGTAACCAGAACTGTGTTACTAATCATTCATTAATGACGGTCACTGTACAACTGTACCGCCACAAAGCTTTTATCAGTAGTGATGAGGAAAATTAACGGAGCATCATATATATATATATATATATATATTGATTACATGGTTACACCCGTAGGTGGCGACCAGCGACTATCAAAATATGTATTTGTCATTGAATCATTCACTCAAGAGATTTGTTCAAATATGCCGATTCATTGAGTATTTATGACTCATTCGTTTATTCGAAAGATTCATCCAGAAACAAGTCAAATCTGTATGAGTGAGTCATTGAATCATTCATTCAAACATCAACTCAGATTAAACATTTTAAATAGACTTCATTTTGTCAGAACCCAAGTAAATTACATGCAATTTTGTTTATTTCGTGGATCTCTATTTGAATTGAAAAATCTGATACAACTGTACCGCCACAAAGCTTTTATCAGTAGTGATGAGGAAGATTAACGGAGCATTATAGATCTATATCAGAATGTGAAAACCAAAAAGGACCCAAGATTAAAGAGGTCTACAGGGCGGAAAAATAAATGAATAAAATGAAAAAAAGAAGAAACAAAATGAACTTACAACTTTAATAGGTTCAGGAAAGAGGGGGGAGTTAGCTGGAAAGGCCTCTCCTCCCTGCTGGATTTCTTGATTTCTCCTTTCCCTTTCTTTCATACGGAGCACATTCCGGTCTTCACGGTTCATGTTGCTAACAACAGAGACAGAGTCACTAAGCAGTGAGGAATCAGAGAACAAATAGCTTCCTGACACCTTCAGCTACATTTACACCAACACAAGAGTTACACATTTGAAGAACAAATGGAAAAATGAACAGAGATGGTTCCCTGCTCAACTGTTAGAGTTAAAGTTAACAACACACACTTTCAGTCTGTCCATCCATGTTGTGCGCCGCGTGCTTCGGCTAACCTAACGTTACGTAATGTTTCATACACGCCGTCATTATCCTCTCTACATCACGACAGGGCTTGCGAAAGCGGGTTCGACCACAGCGGAAAGCCAATGAAACTTCCTGAAATCTGTCAGATGTGTCCTTTCGCATTATTAAGACTCGTATCGGTTCAGATCGTCATTCAAAACCACAACAGGATGAAAAACGCTCTCGACGAAACATCGAGGCTTATTAACGAATGCTGACATCAGATACAGACTCGTTTCTCAGTTCGTTAGTCTCGCTATACCTCCATTACAAGGCCCAAAACTACAGGCTCGGTTCGTTTCAAAATCAAAAGGACGAGCAAAAATAAGTGAGGGGGAAGAAAACAAAACAGTGAACAGCAGGAGAGAGAGAGAGCAAGAAAAACAAAAAGTGAGGAGATCGAGAATGAAAGAAAGCAAGAAAAAGGAGAACAGAGTTAATGCATTAAGATTATTCTGAGACTGTAAACGAATCACTAATTCAACAGTGCGAGGGTCGAGACTCCCTTGATATTACAGGACAATTCATTACATCTCTCTAGAACAACACACATCAACAGAGGTCCTTCCGCACAGAGAGCTTCAGTGATTGGATCAGGGAACGGTGCCGTGTGTGATGTCACTGCGGGGGGGTGGGGCGAGTTAATGTGCTAATGGGAGAGAGCGTTTGCACGACAAAACCACTCAAACGACCGATGCAACGTGCGCACACACACCAAATCCAATTAGTCAAACCATTAATGTTCTTTGCTGATGAGCTGGTGTGTGTACACCTGAACCTCTCTCTCTCTCTCTCTCTCTCAGTTTCGAAGCCTCAGCAATGTCTCTCACTCGCTCTCTCTCAACTCAACATTAGCTTCAAACCTGGATTCACCACGGCTCAAGAGCAAGGCATACGCTTTCAAAGTATACTCGGGGCATTAGGGAATTATTTTATATTCAAAACACTAGTTCAGTAAGTGGTATTTAAACGTCGTCCGTCATAAAAAACATCGGATCGGGTTCGATTTTCTGCGTTTTTTGCATCCGTTGCAAGGGCCTTAAAGGAGTAGTTCACTTTTAAAAAAACTTTTGCTGATAATTTCCTCACCCCCATGTCATCCAAGATGTCCACGTCTTTCTTTCTTCAGTCGAAAAGAAATTGAAGTTTTTGATGAAAACATTCCAGAATTTTCTCCATATAATGGACTTCAATGGGGTCCAAACGGTTCAAGGTCTAAAAGAGAGTTTCAGTGCAAACTGTTCAAAGGGCTTTAAACGATTCCAGATGATGAATAATGGTCTTATCAAGCGAAATGATTGCTCATAAAAAAAAAAGAAATGTAAGTTTTATAAGCACAAATGCTCGCCTTGCTCTGTTCTGTGTGACTCTCATGTTCGAACCCGTTCATTACAATGAACGAATCTTTTTCCAGAGTCAATTCGTTCATTTCATTCATTGAATGCACCAAATGACACAAAAAAGATTCGTTGATTTTGATAAACGAGTGAAACTATGAACAGTTTGCAGTTTGTACTGAAACTGTCTTTTGGACCTTGAACCGTTTGGTTCCCATTGAAGTCCATTATATGGAGAAAATCCTGGAATGTTTTCATCAAAAACCTTAATTTCTTTTTGACTGAAGAAAGAAAGACATGGACATCTTGGATGACATGGGGGTGAATAAATTATCAGCAAAAGTTTTTTTAAAAGTGAACTACTCCTTTAAGACAAATATCCATATTTAAAACTTTGACTAAAATAACGGTCGTGCGCATCGATTTACTGCAAAAGAGTAACCCTTGAACTCACGCCCTGCGCGTTTGAACCGCGTCAATTGCCGTCATTACGTCAAAGTTTTAAATATGGATATTTTATTTTTACAGCTGGCATTGTCGAGCTTGAACGAACGCATCGCTTCAGAAGGACTTTATTAACCCTTGCAGAGTCTGTGGAAGACTTTAATCATGAATAAATGCACTTTTATGGACTTCCTAATACACACACCCATTCACTACAATTGTAAAGCTTGGAAATCATGGGCTAATTGTCATTTTTTGGGTGAACTATCCCTTTAAGAGCTGCAGATGAACAGTACCAGAAACAGTGCGAGCAGAAAATAAATCGGGTTTGTGAAAATAAGTTAATGTCTTTAGATATTTCATCCCCCCCAAAAGTTGGGTTTTACCGTTTTCTAATCCATTCAGCCGATTTTCTGATATTTAGAAGAATATCAGTAACCAGACAGTTTCTGGTCTCATTGACTTCCATTGTATATTTTTTTCCTACTATGGAAGTCAATGAGACCAGAAACTGTCTGGTTACTGATATTCTTCTAAATTTCAGAAAATCGGCTGAATGCATTCGAAAACGGTAAAACCCATTTCAAAAAAAAAAAAAAAAAAAAAAAGAAAAAAGTGGATTATCCCTTTAAGAGGATTTCATAATAAACAATGTAAGAAATTGGAAAATGATTGAGAGATTGCATGGGAAGACTAAAACTTAAATTAGTAGTTAATTTTGTTTTGTGTTCATGATGAGAGGTGATTATTAGATTATGTACGTTGTTTGCTTTTAGTAGTTTATTACTTTGAGCAAAAGATAAAAACGGTCCATATTTAAGAGGTAAACCTGCACCTCCAGTGTGTTCTCAGTCCACACATGTATGCGTCTAAATGTCAAATATGTTAAATATCTAAACGTTCAGCTTCCTCGATGGAAATGTATAACCGTTCCAAAAAAAAGTCTTGTCCGGATGGAAATATAGAGACCCTATCGTGATTTAAGTGTACAGTCCTACGTTTGATTTAAAGGAGTAGTTCACTTAAAAAAAAAAACAAAAAAAAACTTTTGCTGATAATTTACTCACCCCCATGTCATCCAAGATGTCCATGTCTTTCTTTCTTCAGTCGAAAAGAAATTAAGGTTTTTGATGAAAACATTCCAGGATTTTCTCCATATAACGGACTTCAATGGGGTCCAAACGGTTCAAGGTCCAAAAGAGAGTTTCAGTGCAGCTTCAAAGGGCTTTAAACGATTCCAGACGATGAATAAGGGTCTTATCAAGCGAAACGATCGCTCATTTCATAAATAAATAACAAAGTTTAAGTTTTATAAGCTCAAATGCTCGCCTTGCTCTGTTCTGTGATGCGCGTTCGTGACTCTCCTGTTCGAACTCGTTCATCAAAATGAGTCAATTCGGTCATTTCGTTCGTTGAATGAACCAAATGACACGAAAAAAAGATTCGTTCATTTTGATGAACGAGTTCAAACGGGAGAGTCATGAACGCGCATCACAGAACAGAGCAAGGCGACCATTTGAGCTTATAAAACTAAAACTTTGTTATTTATTTATTAAATGAGCGATCGTTTCGCTTGATAAGACCTTTATTCATCGTCTGGAATCGTTTAAAGCTGCACTGAAAGTGTCTTTTGGACCTTGAACCGTTTGGTTCCCATTGAAGTCCATTATATGGAGAAAATCCTGGAATGTTTTCATCAAAAACTTTTATTTCTTTTCAACTGAAGAAAGAAAAACACGGACATCTTGGATGACATGGGGGTGAGTAAATTATCAGCAAAAGTTTTTTTCAAAAATAAGGCCCGTTCACACCAAGAACGAGAACCAATGATGACTATAAAAGCGTCCACACCAGCGCACGATATGGCTCTTTAAATCACGATGGATTCTGATTGGCTGTCAATGTTTTCACTGTTAATCTGGAAAGAAACGATCTTAAAGTGATCCAAACGATATAGTTCCTCTGTGTCGTTATCGTCATAGTTGTGGTGTGAACTGCTTTTCTTTTATATAACCGGCTTTTATTCAGCCAAAGTTTGCCAGGATCTCTCATATGACACAATGGCGCGGACATCCTATTATGCAAGTATAAAACAAGTTGGGTGATCATATGCCAATCAGAAAGTATTGCTGGGAAATGTACGCGTCTTATGACTTATCCATGAAGCATCTTTGAAGAAAAGTATGAACATGAAAGATATACGTCTAACCCAGGTATAGATGTCTTTCTACATTAATTCAAGTGTTTCAACATGCCCCCCCCCCCAAAAAAAAAGCAGTTTAAGGATAAACCAAACGTTCACAGATCATCTAAAGTGTCAATATCAATATTCCCAAACCGTAACATAACCCATATTATTCTCCATCCGGCCTATCTAGAATATTCTGACTCTTAGTCAGTGCACAGCTCATGTTAAGACAAGAAGACACACTAAAGTCTAAGAAATAAAACTAATGCAGATTGCTGAGAGAAGGCCTCAAACTTTGCCGTGACTACTATAGGAGTTGCTCACTGAAAACATGGCTTACCCTGACTGAGAGGCCATGGCCTCAACCAATGAACCATTGGAAGAGGATTGAGAGAAAATTCCAGACAACTCGATGGCTCTGTCCAGCTACGGCTCCCTCCGCTTTAGTACGGTCCACTTTTGAGGCACAGTTTTCTTGATCGGCAGCTTTCACGCTTCAATCGTCACTGCTGTATTTCCTGGGAGTTGAGATAAATCTGACTTTAGGGAGGGGAGGTTATAGTCTGTCTACCGAGCAAACCACTCGAGCTGAAGAGAGGAGGCGCAGCTCACACACACACACACAATAAAACACTGAAGTGTGCCGTATCAGATGCTCTGGAACAGTTTGAGAGTTTGCCCATCCAGAGGAAAAAACAAACAAGTTTCACAAAACCATCACTAATGATAACTTAACCTTCTGCATTTTATCAATAATACATTCAATGTGTAATTCATCTACATAAACCCTGCTTCTGTAAAGGAGGACACCCCTCGTGTGCTGTGGGGAATGGTGCAGTCCACCAACGCCCTTATAAGGACATGTTATTTTATGCCAGTTGGCCCCTCCTCTCTATGATGTGAAGGCTTGCTGCGGCCAATCAGCTGCTGTCTCTCAGTAAACACATGCCCTCCCCCACTTGGGCCTGAGCCAACACTATCAGCGTCAGCTTTCTTAAAGGGCCAGACACAGTTTGAGTCTACGGGGAAAGCGTGTCATTAGTTCACCCAGGTGGCCATGAGGCAATTAGACGCAATATGGGAATCACCAAAAACAACCGACTAACCATCCTGGAGTTTTATACTCTGTTACTGTATTAAACATTATGATAGGTAAAAATAAACCTGTAAATCTGTGTCCTAAAATAAGCAGGGATTAGCGGCACACCATCTCTTATTGGTCAAGTATGATAAATAATAAGATTTTTTTGATTCAGTGCAACAGAACTTAAAAGGATACTCCACTTTTTTGGGGAAATACCATTTTCTAAACCATTTAGCTGATTTTCTGATATTTAGAAGAATATCAGTAACCAGACAGTTTCACTTCAATGAGACCAGAAACTGTCTGGTTACTGATATATTCTACTAAATATCAGAAAAATCAGCTAAATGGATTCAAAAACGGTAAAACTCAACAGTTTAACTCTGGGGGAGTGGTAAAATGAGCCTATTTCCAAAAAAAAGTGGAGTATCCCTTTAAGGCGAGACACTGCAGGTGAATAGGATAAAAATGTTAACTTACAGATGTCACCATGAAACTTTACCAGTTGATTACTCGCATAAATAGGAGAAAGTTTTCTGTAATCTTATGTTTAAATATGCTAATCAGGCTATATCTAATTAAATATGCGCTAATTTGTATATATTTTGAAGTGACGAATCTGACCGTTGAAAAAAAACAAGGTTTAAAATTACGTTTGCATTTTGTTGATGTATTCAATGAAAAGACATTTTCAGGGGGATTATGATGAATATCTCCTTTTGTTACCTTGTAAACTAGAAAACACTGCCAATGGCCTTAAAAAATAGATTTCTGCCCAATTTTTTGGCGTAAAATGTCATACAAATCAGGCCAAGAATGATATATCAAAAAAAACAAACTTCTATGTAGGTGCTACAAAAGTGGAAAATCGTCACTAGAAGTGTGAGAAAAAAACTCATTTTGAGAAAACGGCCTTTAAAGATTTTTAGGGGATTGCGCATTTTGAGATAAATGGCCCATTTTACTTTCATGATTGGTTGCTGATAAACAGGAAATGACCATATTTGGATCCGACGGCACTGAAGAGGAGAGAGAGAGAGCTTTCTAACGGTGTGTGTGATGACGGGGTGCGGATCGCGATCACGGAGCAGCGGGGCGATTTATAACGCCAACTTTTGAGGAATTTAGGCGAAATCTACACACGCAAACAGACAAAGTGTAGTAAAATAAAGACCTAAATGTGTGTTTTGGACTTTTTTTCAGCACAAGTCTGAAAGACGACATGTTATTGAGTACAAATCTCAAAACCATAAAATCTCATCAACCATAACCTCTGACCCTTCCTCATACTTCTATTGGCATTGTGTTTTTATGTTAAGACAACAAACTAAAACATTTGCTTAAAAAAAACTATGTATGCACTTTTATGAATATGTTTGAGATGAATCGCAAACCAATCACTGAATCAAGAGTTAATGAATCATCAAGACGAACATACTAAAATATTAGTATCTGAATTTCTTATTTGTAGACGTCAGCAATCATAAGACATGGAAACAGTCTAATTAGACTAATATGTTTTTAGAAACTCGTTTCAACTAAAATCGTATGCGTTTGGCCGTTCATTTACACAAAATGCAAACTTATGAAAACGTGTTCTTTGAAAAGTGGAATTTTTTTTAAAAATATCCGCTTTTGTCTCGGTTTAAACTACAAAAAAAAAGTGTGTTTTGGATTCAGTAAGTCATATCATGTTCAGTCAGTCTATCAATCTGCGGCCATACATTAGATCCCTAATCACTTTAATATATCAAATCAAAATGCTTCGAGGCTAATCGACTCCTTAAGCTTTGGGACGTGGATGGCTATGCATGTAACATGCAAATAAAGGGTTAAGGGGATAACCAATTTGTATGCATTTTCATTTCTTTGTTAAAATGCAAATACATCCAAGTAGATGAGAGAACTTGTGCATGTTTTAGTTGCTGTAAAACAATATTGTCTTATACTAGGAAAGATTCTGGCCCACATTTTATGTGCATTATTATCACGTTCATTTGTTATCTTGATTTATAAAGTTTAAGTGTACAGACGTTATAGCACAGTTTTTTTTATGATGGTAAATTATCTATTAGGGGTTTTAGTCAAGATGCCATTTGTATTCTTCTGATTAATGACCTTAAAATAAATGAAGATATGAGAGAGGACCTACACACACACACACACTGAAGTCACACACTTCCATCTGAAGCTGCACTGGGATTATTAGTTTTTTTTTAGAGTATGAACATTAGAGTGCAAGAATTTTATCCATTCATTTTTCCCATGGGGATTTTTAAAAGGTCTTCATTAAAGATTTATAAGCTATAAGCCATGAACCAAACGAACCAGAGGAGAATCACAACATTACAAACTTTGATACGAAGCAAAAAAACAACAACAACAAAAAAAACTGATTAAAATCAGAAAAAAAGACAAAAGGTACAAGAACTTTGGCTTTAGTGAGGGCATTGCGAACAGCATAATCAAATTATTTTTTTAATATATATATATATACATATACATATATATATGTATGAAAATAGTTTGGTTCCAAAATGCAATAAACACCTTTTTTTTTTATTTAGTTACTCCAAAAATCTGTATAGTATCTGGTCTTTACAGTTCATAAATCTTCTTTACAGTTCTATTTAACAGTTTTGCACAGATTTTATATTAAAGCTATGGATTTATAGTTTGCACAAGACAAAGTGATGAATTAATTAATAAAATGAATTTTATTTTGAATTTATTTTCGTTAATTGCATTTCGAAAAAAAAAAATGGATTTATTGCATTTTGGGGGGAAAAAATCTGTTTTTATAAAAAATCTTTGAAAATCAAAACCTGGATTGACATTTTTATTGTCATTACAACCTACAAATTCTATGTGAAAATTTGAAACAGAAAATAATGGTTTTCATCTTCGACTTCATGGGAGTGGGCGGAGCTTAAGAGCTATTGGTGCGTTTTGCTTTTTTCGACTCTCTGATTGGTCTACTTTTCTGTATAGCATCATGGGTATTGTAGTTTTTCACCAGGAATTCCAAATGATTATCTCAAAACAAAGACTTCTATATGAATGAATCTCTGAAGGAAACCAACTGTCTAAAGTTTCGACGATTACTGGGAACCGCTCTATTTCTGCCATTACACAAGCGCCACCTACTGTCAGAGAGTGTGTTTACATGTTCATTCGGCCCACCAGACCAATGCAAAAACTGGTATTCGGACTCAAAAAAATGGTATTCGGACCAGCCGTATCATTTTCCAGAGCAAACTCAATCAAATGTTGATAGTAAAAGCAGCATAACATAAAAAAAAAACCTTCAAATAGGGGAGGACAATATATTAAAACAACAAACCAGCATACATTTCTATATTTATTGCTTATTGTAAAGCAATAAATAATAAAAGCATTTTTACTTCAGTTATATGAATACTGATTAGGGCGAGATATCAAAACAGATGTCCCGATTTGATTCAATAAATTGAATGATTCAATTTTCACTGGCCCCACCTCTAAAAATATTGTTTTAAAATAAAGGTTATGACAAAAATGTTAGATGTTGAACATTCTCGATTCCAATTTCAATACCACAGCTAAAAAAACTCATTTACATTTCAACGATTACTAAAAGACAAGAAAACAGTCAATAACAAAAAAAAGAACAAATAATTAAACTACAAGCAATAACACAAATAAATACAATAGAACAAAGATACAAATTAAATAAACTAAAATAAATTAAAAGTTATTTTCAGTACAGAAATTGAATTAAGTAATCAAATGACAATCTTCACAGTATAAATTGAATAGATTAACCCTTAAAGCTTCAAAAGTTATGTAATGAAGAGCAGCGAGTGATTTCTTTGTCTTTTGTCGTTTGAGTAACGACTCATTAAAAACACAGACAGCAGGAATATTAGGCTACTGTCACTTTAAGACATCCAATGGATCCAATGTACTGGTAGTACAGACAGACACACACACGTTGAGTTTCTTGACTGCTTACGTTCACTTAACGGGAGTGCTGTTGTGTAACTGTCGTAACCAAACGCGACGCGCTGTTTAAATGCAGAATGACTGAGGAGAGATGAGATTCCATTAACTTTAACTCGATTTTATAATCAGTGTTATATAACATTATATATACGGATGATGGTCATATAATCATAATGCTTAAAAAATTGATATTTGAGAACAAGACTTGTTGCGGTTGCGCATGTTGTTTGTTGTTGTTCATTTATTCACTGTATTTTAGTGCTGCTGTGACATATACATTTCCCCCTGGGGGATTAATAAAGTAAATCAAAAAGATCGATTTGTGGCTTTTTATAAACAATATCAAATCGACTACTTTTTAAAAACGATTAGTCCAAAAAAAAAAAATTAATTTGCCCAGCCCTAATACTGATAAACGCAGCCGTCCTTCGATTGAGTTGTCCGTCCTCT